GTTCTGTTCGATCGTTCCCCTCCTCCTTCGTCTGGCGTCGCGAGGACGGCTCTCTTCAGGACGTTCGCCCTTTGTTTGGACAGCTGGGCCGTGGCCTCCTTGCGCACCTCCTCGCTGCCGACGCTGCTTCGCCCAGTGCTTCGTTTTTCCCCGTCTGTGGCGTTGGGGGTATGTCTCCCTCTCTGTGCGCTTTCGGCCGCGTGCTGACTGGCTCCGTTCAGCGCCTCATCCTTCACGCCTTGTCTTGCGCCGCTTCTGTCGGTCTCCCTTCCTTCGTCTCAGATCGATTCCTCGTCCCTAGCCCACGTGGCCGCTTTCGCGTGTTTCCCGAAGAGAACGTGGCTCGGCCCGATACGCTGGCCCGACTACTGGGTCCTCTCCCTCCATCTCTCGTGCCGCCGTTCCTTCATGCCGACCGGTGGTCGTCCTTCATCCGGGTGGTTTCTTTGCCCGATCCTCGGGAGGAGTTTGCCTTCTCGGGCGGCCCCTCGTTGGATGAGGCGGAAGCGGGTGTTTCGTTCAGCTTTCTCCCGTTGGCGGCCTGGTTGGATGATCAATTCCCGAGCACCGAGAGTGATCCGGAGGATTCCGAGTCGACGGCCCCGGTTATGAAACGCGTTCCCCCTACTCCGGTGGTTCGGGCGCGGTCTCCGTCTTCGATGGAGGTCGACGTGGAACGGGATGGTGCCCCGCCGGTTTCGACCCTACTTTTCCTACCTTCCGACTCGGGTTCGGATTCGGATGTGGAGGTGATCGCCGGCCCTCGTCGTTTGTCTTCGGTGGGGATCGACGCCTCTGAACACGAGTCGGCTACGGATGCCCTCGACCCTTCCTTCTCCCCGGCCGTGTCGCCTGCCCCGTTGCAACGGGATTTCGGCACCCCCTTGGCCCCTCGTCTTGAATCCACTGGACAGCTGGCGCTTTTCGAGGGGAGCCCCTCGTCAACCGGGAACAGTGATCCGATCCCTTTCCCCTCGCTGTGAGTATTGCATCGCCCACGATCGTTTGTGCACCGTGTGGGGCGTCCCAGATAGTTCTCCCCAGAAACTCCCTGGTCCCGTGCGTCGGGCTTGTGACGCGTGCAGCCCGCTCCATCGTGCTTGTCTGCGTTGGCGGTCTTTTGCAGATGCGTACAAGGCTCGCTCCGCGGCTCTGCACGATTTTTCCTTCGAGTTTTGGGAGGCGTCAGGTCGAGGATGGCGAGTTTGCGCTGCTACGTCCCGATCCCCGCTCCGCTGATCTAGTCGGGCTGTCCGCTTCGGTCCCGTACCGGTCCTTCTTGTTCTCCTATTTGCCCCGATCAAACGAGGATCGGTTCGGGGGAGCCCGACCCCGACGGTCGGGCCTCCTTCGGGCCGTCGTCGCCGCCCCGGTCGTCCTTTCGTCAGCGTCTTCTCGGGACTCCTCCCCGTCCCCGTGCGAAAACGAAGTTCGCACCCGCTCGCCGTCTCCCCCCACCATCGTCAAGTCGGCCCCCGCCGAGGCCCCGCCCCACTTTCCGCCGGCCGGCCTCCCCTGTCGCGGATCGCTCATTAGGAGAGGCATCGTCCCGGTCATCCGTTCCTGCCGGTGAGACCCACCCTCTTTCTTATCCCACCATGGGTTTCCAGGTGCCTTCGTTCCCTCGAGTCTCCCTGTGGTTCGGGAGGGGATGGGACTTGGATCGGGCCATTGCCGAGTCTCGCCGGTTGCATGGGGACCCGTCGGTACCCGCCGATCAGCGCTTGTCTCCGTTGGGCGTGCTGTTGCTGCAACAGTCGGCGGTTCATTCGGCCGACGGGGGCTTCCCGGATGCTCGGACCCGCGCACTCGCGGAGTTGTCGTCGATCGTTCCCTGGACGCGACCTCCGGTTGGTAAACTCGCTGGAGTCCCTGACCGCCTCGCGGGACGTCGCCGACGTGTGTGCCGCTATCTGGGCGCCATTCTTCTGGCTATCCACCGGTCCGAAGGAGAGAGGTCGGGATTCTGGGAAACGCCGGAGGGTTTAGAGCGTCGGGCCGCTGAACGAGAGGTATATGCGAATGTGTGCCGTCAGGACGGCCTGAGCTTCGACATGATGGATCTGGATTAGGCTTCGGCGGGTCGTTGGTCGTCTTTCGGCGACCTCGGCCGGAGTTCCCCGTCTACTGGGTCTCGGCGTTCGGGTATCCTCATCCTCTCGTCTGCTGTCGTCGTTCGCGCGCCCTGTCAAATCGGCCTTCTCTCGTAGGGCGCCCCCGTGGTGGTTCGGACCGTATCGTGTTTTTTTTTTTTTGTCTATGTATTTGACTTTTTTGTATTCCTTTTCGCTGTCTTGCAATCGATCGATTCATCTTGCGCTCGTTCGTTGTTGTGATGGAGGAAGAAAGAGATTTATTACTGGGGACAGAGGCCCCGCCACAGATTAAGTAGAGCAGATTACGAAAAGAGATAAGAGCGGCCCCCAGGGCTCTCGTGCGGAGGGAGGTGTGCCCCATTTCATCAGGCAGAGTGTGCCGGTGGCGCGGGGCGGTCCGAGACGATTCGGACCGGGGGTTCGGCCGTACGCGGGGAGGGGCGGTGAGTTGTTGAGGCGTCGGGCGCTTTGCGGCGGGCCCGGCGCCATGGGCCGGGCAAGCGTGTTCCATGTGCCGATGGTGCTCGTCCAGGGAGACCCGCCTAGGGGTACCCCACTTCAGGGCGGGCTCCTTTCTCCCGTAGAGGACGCGGTTAAAGACCACGGGTTGGGCTTCGAGAGTGCGCCCGTATAGGTAGGCAAGGGAGGCGATGACGATAGCCACGATCGTAGCCCACGCCGGGAGTGCGATAACGGTGGTAGCGTCCATTCTGTTGCGGGTGTAGGGGGATCGCTTAGATTCTGTCAGACTGCGGGTCGGGCCGTGCAAGGACTTCTCCTAAGAACGCGCCCGGAACAGAACAGACGAATAGTCGGGCCCGCAAGTATGGCGGGCGGGGTAGATCGAAACCGAAAGGGCCCGTGAACTCGGTCCCTTGCCGTAGTCGGTGGTCGAAGGTTCGAATCGGGTCGTGTCGGGCCCGATGAGTCGATAGCGTCTCCTCGCACGGAGTAAGGTAGTTCTTCAGACGATCTAAGCGATAGAGTACAGGGTACACTATCGCGCATTATATACGCTGGCCCGCAAAGGGGGTGATCGGACACCCTGGCCTCTCCTCCTCCTCCTCGCTCCCGTTCCTGGCCGCAGAGGGGACGATCGCACATCCCTTGCGGGCCAGGCGCTACTCCTGACCTCCTAGCACTCCTCCCCATTCCCCTGGTGTCGAAGTTGGGCTCGGCGACGGCTCGACGCGCGTCGTTCTCGGTCACGTGCTTCCCACGTGTGCGTTCCTCCTACTGGGGCGCATGTTCCCCGTCGTCACGTGCTGCGTGTTGCGGGCCCGCAATGGCCCGACACCAGCGCCGGAGCGGACGGGCCGGGTCTTATCCGTGACAGTTCCTATGCCTTTAAATGAACTTTCATATAAAGTTGTATTGCTTCTTGCATCATGATGATATGTTGATGCTATCAAAGACTGTGACAAGTTTAGTCACTTCACCAAAAAAACTGGGTTTCACTGCATTCAAAGGTATAAAATGGCATTTAACATGGAAGATCTACATATGAAAGGCCTCCTAAGGCCTCCTAAGTACCTCTTGAAGCATCCCTACACCAAACACAAAAGTTTTTTTTCTAGGCTCTGGACCCCCCCCTGCCCCATAGCCGTGATAGGCATCTTGCGCCCCCCTTGTCCGCCCGGGTCACTTGTTTGGTAGCACCCGGGCACTTGTGACGCTGTGGTTCGAGGGGCTTACGCAGGGCGGAAGGGAAGAGAAATGATGTAGATGAGAGATCAGACAACCATTGGAATCCAATGGTTGTCAGCGAGCTGACCCGTAACCTACGGCGGGGAGGGAGCAGGGGTGCATACTCAGGCAGTCGGGACGGGGCCGCGAGAAGGGAAAGAGGCGAGACGAAGACGAGACACAAGAAGAATGAGGACTTGGTTAAGATTGCTGCTGCGTGACTTTGGTCACGACTGATGTTACAAGACATGTGACTACTTGTGACTACTTGAGATCATGTGAGTGATTCTATCTGATAATGCCCGATAACGCTTGCGACGGTTCTGAGTCGTCTCGCTGGTAGTATACCCGTCACAGCACTTGTTTGGTTGTACCCGGGGCGGCGGGTGAGAAACCGCCCGGGCCGCTTGTTTGGTTGTGCCCGGGCAGACGCAAGGGAGCGCCCGGGGGGGACAGCTTGGGTCCCCCTGGGCTCTCGTTTGTCTGTGGCGGGGTGGATTCTCCCTGGGCCCTGGCTGGTGCTTGGTGGTTCACCCGTCACTGGTGTACTTCAAGTTGCACTGAGGGGTAGGTAGACGTCATCTGTACTATGTACAGACCTTGTATGTTTGTTTGTTTGTTTGTAATACATAGTGTAGGAGTAGTTACAATGTAAGTTACGTAATCATTTACTTTTCAAAGCAAATTGTGCATTCTGTTGAATTGCTTTGAGATCTAAGTAATGTTTATGATTGTCTTGTCTTGTCAGTGAAATGTTATATGCCCTCGAGGTAGAACACTATCATGATGTGTAACAGGGGCAGACAGCAAATATACCCCCATGGAAGCCTATGGCTCCCCCCAGGGAATGCCATGCATACACCAGGTGACGACCCCAGTTACCCCGTGCAATGGTGTTCGGGTGCATGGTGCGCTCGAGGGAAGGTGCATGCGACAGGCCTGTCTCATGGCCGATGGCCCATCACCAGATCAAGCGGTATTCTGCACGAATCACCAAATCCTGCAACAGTTGAAGAGCAACCAGAGGATGGTACTCAACAATAACCTGAAATGCGACAAGAAGCACGAGCATCCCGTGACAGGAGGATGTTGGTCTGGACCTCGACATGAATGGCTGGCGGGATCCGCAAGAACTTGAACAGTTCAAGTTTGAGAATGAGCAGAGCCGCACACAGTTGAAACAATATGAGAAAGTGCCTAGTAGTTGAGGAATAAGTGCTATTCAAGCTTATCGAACAACCACCATCCAGCCTGCGGCTTCACGACGTCGTTCTCTCCGGTCATCGATACCTCTTTGCTCCCGCTCGAGTCAACCCGCATGCCGATGATACCCGCACACATGGACGCCTTCATTGGCACCCCATTGTCCAGCAACATAACATCGACTTCCGCATAACACGGCGGGATGTAGTTCGCTTCCACCGTATGATAGCCCGTGTCGTCAAAAAGCACCCACTCCGGATCGTAGTTGGTGTATGTCTCCCAGAACTCGCGAGGAGTGAGTGTTTCCGGAGGGACGGCTGATTCGACATTCTACAGCCAGGAGGTCAGTGGAGAGATCGTCGGTCACATTGCAACACGGACTCGTTTGAATTTGGGTCCAATCCACCGCCCTTTCTGGTCAAAAACACAAAACGCGTTGAGCCATCCGCTGTAGACTGACGGGCCGCTTCCGCCGGGCCAGAAATGCGCGACCTGCTGCCAGAATTGGATGTTGCCGTGCTCGGATGGGTCGTCGAAAGTGAGGACAAAGCGTCTCAGGACGGGGACGAGCAGATGGTACCATGCGATAGTGTGGAGACCATACTCTTTGAGCTTCTCCGCCCTGATGAGCAACTTCTCCCAATCTGCCTTTTCCCCCTTGAGCGTGACTTGTGGTATACCGCATGCGATGGCGGAGAAGGTATATGTGAAGTAGGCCTTGAGGGTCGCCATCAGCACAATCGAGCTCACAGTCACATCCAGCTCCGTCGTCGTCGTGAAATCCGGGATCGCCCACTTACGCAACTCCGGGTCAACGACGTTCTTCTCGATCAGGCCCGCCATCGCCCGCGCGAACACGCCAAAGTCGGCGAACGAATCGCTCTCGACTTCAAGGTTCTTCTGGCCGTCATGAGCGACGAAGTTGGCGCGAAGCAGCTCGGCGTTGGCGTTGACAAAGAAGTTGAATTGGGTGACGATGGCGAGCCACACGTCGTCAGGCCGCAGGACCAGCGCGTGGTGGCGGTTGTAGGCGGTTGCGATGGTGTGGAAGAAGCCATTTGGCTGAGGGATGACGTTGACTACTCTCGCGGCTGGTGTCTTGGGCAGTCTGTATTGCCTTCAGCTGAATCGAGAGGAAACAAGAAATATCATACAAGTCTGGCTCAGAGAACGACGTCCCACGAAGATCTCCAGCGGTCTTGTACTGCGGCGCGCAAGCTTTCTCGAGGATTTGGCGGGGAGAAAGTCCAGTCGCAGCGTCACCGAGGGGAACGGATTCTGCATGATGAGATGCGACGTTGAAAGTAACGGGCATGGAGGAAATTTAACAGCAATTTCGCTTTTAAAGCATCTACGCCAGGGGCGAGTCGGTGCCGTCGTTAACCAGGAAACATCGGCTCCGCGATGACGGTCCTTAGAAAGTTTGCCATGTGATTCTAAATGATCACGTTTACACTGAGGTATTTGAACGGACCTCATTACAGCGAGGAGAACTAACAGTACTTAGGTACGTATGTTATATGAGAAGTAACGACAGGAAAGTCCACCACATTCGCATCACCATCTCGCAATTATAGGCCGAAGAACATCCCCAATGCTCTTCAACACTTGCAATGTGTCCTGGTCCTCTTTGCTTAGCTGCACCCGCGTCTTGGCCGCAGTAACCGGACCCGAACCATCCGGTGGTCCTCCACCAAATATCTGCGCATCAACAGGGCATGTGGTATCAGGGGGCGGAAGGGTCCCGTTGGTCATATATGCTTTGAAGTAGCCAAAAGTGCAGAGCGATGGTGCTGTTGTAGATGTATGCCCCGGTGAGTCCTGCACGAGCAGCGCAGAGCCCAGGAAGTTAGCACGTGTCTTTTGTGCGCTATTCAAGTGGGTGAGATTCGATCCGAGTAGTGTTAAAACTGTAGTACCTCTGCTTGGGGGTGACCGGGTCGGCGGTGTTAGCCACGAATAACAGAGGGAAGCTCGTTTTGATATTAGACACAGGCCACTTAAATCGGTTCTGGCGATGTATCTTCCATCCGCTATACACGGAAAATGAGGGAAAGTTTCGAATGAAAACGACACGAGACACACCTGCAGGTAATTCGGCCACTCCCCACCAAAAACTCAGCAAACTGCGACAGCTTGGCTGCATTCCGGTAGTACGCGTCAAGTTGCTCCAGCGAATCCTTGACTTCAACTGCATCTCCACATTGCACACCAAATGTTGCTGCAAGTGGATTCCCAGTCGGCTGGGTACCGTCTGGAGCCGGAGCGCCACATGTGAACTGTGGTTGCGCAAGAATCGCAAACAAAGATGTACCATTGCCCTTCTCCAGATCTGCGAGAGCTTGGGCAAGGGGTGGAAAGAATACATATGGCGCATATAGGGCCTGGAAGAGCGTTTGGCGAAGACGGGAATAATCGACAAGCCCATAACCCCCTGGAGTAATCACGGGTACGGGTTGTGCAAGGATGGTGTTGGTTAGCGTTGTCAGGCGATTGGAGAGGTCTTGGGCTGTGCTGGATGTGCTAGGAGAAAAGGGGCACAAGGAAGGACCAGCAGCAGCACAGGAAGTGAAAAATGAGTCGAGGGTCGCATCGGTAGCCGAGGCTTGAATAGTCAAGTTCGCTATGAAGAAGGTTAGAATGAAATGGTGCGAGTAAATTGTCAAGTTTACCTTGATACCACCCATCTGCATCCAAAACGCCTGACAAAGTTGTAGAGAAACAAAGCGGTTTTACTGTAACTCACCATCCAAAATCATCCGTTCTATCTTGTCTGGGAAAAGAGCGGCAAACGTTGCCCCAAGCACGCTTCCATAACTGATCCCATAGTATCGCACTTTCTTGAAGCCCAACTTCTGGTTGATCAAGTGCATATCCCGTGCGGCGTTGTCCGTGGTAAGGTACTTGAGAATGCCTGTCGAATCGTGCTGGGCGGCAAGCTGTCCTTGAACCTGCGACAGCCCCCAAAAACGCGCGACTGCAGTCGAGTCTGACGATGCGTTGAGAGATTGAGATGGGTTGCCTGCATTCCAAAGGGCAGTTTCGGCAGCTGAAGCAAAGAAGTCGGTAGTTGGCGTAGAGAACCCGATACCTATCCCAATCGTCAATCAATTATCAAAAAAAAAGAGTCGTTAGACGCACCCCTTGGATCGAAGCTCACATAGTCAAACTCTGCGCCAAACACACTGGTGAAAAACGGACCAACACCCAGTAGACTCTGTACACCGCTCGCCCCAGGTCCTCCAGGATTGAAGAATACGGGCCCACGATATGTCGGGTCTGTCGGTGGGACAGAGGCAGGTAAACGCATTACAGCAATTGTGGCAGAGCCGAGTTTTGGTGTGGTATAGTCGAGAGGCACAGAAATACGCGCACATTGGAAGTGGTCGTTGCAGGGCACCCAAGTGATGTCAGAGCTGGCTTTTAACTAGCAGGAAAGGGAGTCAGCATGATCCCAAAGAACGAAAGAACAGAAGCGCACTTGTGACCAATCGAATGTGTTCTGCGGCTGCCCTGGACCCTGCGCCGCGCAAACGTGAGCCCCCGCCAGAAGGAGAGCGGGGAGAAGAGAAAGCATAGTAGCGCTGTTGAATGCGGCCTCCTCGACGGTGGACGCGTTTTAACCTGGTACCATCCTGAGTTTAGGTAACGTCAGCTGAGCGCATGCCCATGCGACGGCTCGGGGATCGCTGCCGCGGGAGGAGGTGTGGGAATGCCGCCTGAGGGAAAAGTTTTCAAAAACAGTCATAACTTGGAAAGGGGCGACATTCGAGCTTGGAAAGCATAGAAAGCTACAATGATTGAAAGTGGGATTTGAAGCGCGCCTCTGGTGTGGATAAAATCCGATAGTGGGAGAGGCCTGAGAGGGAAGAGGCAGGAAACGCTGACTCAGGCAACTGATCGGCAATCACTGCTGATCGGCAATCATGAGCCACGCCACACGTGATAGCTTTGATTTACCCCAGCTTGGCACCACTGTGCGTCTGTCGTTGGTCTCTTGTCTCTCTGATTCTGTGATTTGGATGAGGTCGGGAGTTTCAAGTTAGTATACTTACCTGCACGAAAGTGTAGGTTCGGTGCTTGTCCGCCGACGCCACGTGTGTGGTCGGACACCAACGACCGACCGATTTTCACAAATTCTCACGGATCACAATTTTACCGTTCACTCCTGAGCTTTTTGCTGAGGCCCTGAGGGTTCTTCCAAAAGATGAAGACCTTGGATGTGCAGAGTTGACAAGCATATGCCCAGTGTTAAACGCCAGCCAGTGCGAGCCTTCTGATAAACTAAATCTATGAACTGGGTCCCGGGCCGCCTGCCGACTTGTATGGAATACGCCGACATAGGCCGCGGCCACGAGGAGTGAATTCAATCGTGTTAGCTATCCTTTATCGCGTTCCCTTGAGTGTGTATTGCTAGCGTTGCCCGCCGCCTTCGCGGGGAACGGCGGTGCCTTATCCATGTTCACATTAAACTGAATCCCATGCGAATCGGCGATTCTCTGCGTGGCAATGTATACTCGGCCGGTGGGATAGGGTATCATGACCCACAACATCAACCGCATTACGAACACTCGTTGGCTGCTCCTACCACATTTGCCATTGAAGTTTGTGCTGCCTTTCTGAGCAACGTTTAAAAATCAAAGGGTTGTGAATCGCGCGATTGTGTTGACGTATACTGCAGGTGAGCAACGCAAACTGTCGACGTTGTAAACACCGGGAGGCCCTCAAATGCTGCGTGGAGACGCTTCCGAGATAAACAGCTCCAAGCTGTCAAGTGTGGGGAAGTGTGAAGTGCCTTCCATTTCAGCCAAATTTACCACGGACAGCGGCCGGGGCCTACATTACTTGTTATCAATGCGGTGGAAAGCAAGGGTCTGAAGCATATCCGAGTCGTTGTTTGCGACTTCAAACCAGTATACATCTGAATTCCCGCAGACGGAGAAGTAAGTACCCTGAGTAAAAATCCCCAAGGAGATCATGATCGGAGCGAATCGGCCATCGTTCCGACCGGTGACGTGCGAGGTTTCGTAACCCGCCACGCTGCTGTTGCGCAGGCTTATCTCTCGCCACGTTTCCCCCTCAGCTCTGCATTCATTCTTCAAGCATATATCAACCGCAGAACCGTAGAATGAACTACTACGCTCAAGAAAAGACAGTGCTCCAACGGCCTTCTTCGTATTTTCGTCTCCGGCCCGGCCTCGGCGTGGCATTTTTGCGAGTCAACTCGGCATTCGCCGAGCACACAATTGCGGTCCGCGCGTTGACTTTAAATACCCGTTAGCAGCGCCGCGGCAAGCGACCTTTCCCTCTCGACATGACTCTTGACCTTTACCCCCACTCCCCCCTTCCGGCCTACCTCGAGCCTTGGGAGCTGCTCGATGCCGACCCGCGAACAGCCCACCTTGTTGACACGCCTTGGCGTTACTTCGAACGGTATCTTGCGACACGCGGATACTATCTCTGCTGGCGATATTATTCTCGGACGGAGCCAGAGACAGCTTTTCGCGGGGGGGCCTTCCACTACCCCATAGCCAGCAACCCATTCCGACCAAGGCTAGGGGAAGCTTTCGTGAACCTGTGCGACATGGACGAGAGCGCCCATAGACGGGGGGGTATCCATCAAACAACGGGCTGGATGACGCAGGTACGTATTTGTTGCCTTTGTTGCTCCAAGTTTCGAGCAAGCAAAACTGACTGGCGCTAATTTTCCTCGGTGATTCAGGCCGCCACACTAAAAATGGCGTATGACGCACAGGACCGTGTCGTACGTGCTGTCTGTGTTCGCTTACTGTCCGCTGAGCAACACAAACAACAGTGTGCCCTTAAAGCCCTTCACAACACACGCTCTCGAACTGAAATCGACATTATGACCTTCCTGAACTCGCCCAAACTTCGCCATGACCCGGCCAACCATACAATTCCCATGCTGGATCAGCTGGCCACCAAAGAATGGACGTTTATTGCGATGCCGTATTGGCCGCGCTCCGTTCAAGCTTGCATTCCGTGGGAGGTGGACGACTATTTTGAGCGACTTGAGCAAGCATTAGAGGTGAGCGAATATATACTCAAGTATGGACCTATAATGCTCACTCATGGCAGGGTCTTGCATTTATGCATCGACACGGTGTTGTTCATCGTGTGCGTCAATTCGCGCTTCGAATTGATTTGGGTGCCTAACCGTGCTATTATGTAGGATATTTCCCCGACCAATATGCTCCTTAACTTTCATACGCCATCCGGCATTCGTGATGTCTACACTCCCCTTACTCGACGCAACATCAAGCTGTCATTCATCGACTTTGGCTGTGCCGCGCGGTTCCCCGCAGGACCAGGGTCAAACCATCTGGACTGGACAGGGTCCGGGTACTGTGGAACGGGCGAGCATATTGCGCCAGAAGTGGGAAAAGATCGCCGGTACAGACTAACGCCAGTCGATGTGAGTATTCTTGTGTCATTACTTTCTTGCTCAGCGATCTGACCCATTCTACAGGTATATGCTCTTGGCTCCGTCTTTATTCGCGCCCTCAGCTGGGAGCAGCTCCAGTGTGCTGTAAGTTCCCGCTACTGTTCTTGGCCACCAATTGCCACTCACGCGCACTGATGCAGACTTTCGGAAACCCTTCTTCGCTTCCAGTCGCCGCCCACCAACTGCTCACCGCCGTCCCAAAATCACAGGGATTCGGTTACCTCGCCCTCTTGGACCAGATGACCCACCTGGATCCGATGCGGCGACCCACAGCCCAAACGGCTTTGGAAATGTGCCGGGAAATGAGAGAGGCACTGGATGAAGACGTAAGATGGGCTCCTGTTGGTGGATACCGCTGCAATATTTTCGATGATGGACGATCAGATCCTCGAGATCGCCGATAATATATGCTGGCCCCTTGGTATTTCAACCCCCAAGCACTAGTGGACATCAGTCAACAAGTGAAGTACTGGGACGATTGCCATTGACATGTTCGGCCGCGGTAGTGCAACGGAATGGGTAGTCTATTCCTGTGGTCTGCCAAGTATACAACATAGAGTACCGATTACTATTCATAGATATACTACCGTTCCGCTAGAATATCTTGCGATTGAACCCTGGCCGTAACGCCTCCCGAGCCTTCTTGACTGCATCCCGCAGACCTTCGTTCTGTGCGACCGCAACCGCACGGGGCGACGTCCCTCCACCGGCCTGCCCATTAATAATGTTCGTATTAGAATTGTCTCCGAAGAGCGTTTCGTCGACAGAGCACGTTGTTCCCGGTGGAGGGAGGGTTCCGTTGATCATGTATTCGGCAAGGTAGCCTAACGTGCAGAAGGAAGTCGCGGCAAGCGAGGTATGCTGTTCGTATATTTGTTAGTTGAAAATGAAAGTTGTAGTAGTACACGTACTCCGGGCGAGTCTTGAGTAAGCAAAACCGAACCAGGGAAATTTGCAAGGGTCTTAAGAGCCCTACGAAATAAGATTGGCACGAAGAATATCAGTAGACTAGTGAGCTTACCCCGCCTTGGGTGTCACTGGATCTGGATAGCAAAATGTATGGCATGCAATCGATGGGAATCCGATAATGGTAACTCACCAGCTGTGTTCGACACAAACAAAATCGGAGCGCTCGTATTTGCAGCTTTGGCTGGCCCTTTGAATCGATCTTCTCTATATACTTTCCACCCACTGGATGGATTATTAGTCAACTGAGCGAATAGAGGAAGAAAATAAATTAAACCTGCATGTAACCCGGCTCCTCCCGGTCAAGAACTCGGCGAATTGGGAAACTTTCGCTGCATTGGCGTAGAACGCCTTGAGCTCGTCTAACGTATCCGTTACCTCCACTGCATCGCCACACATGACTGCCACACCCACACCGGCCTCTGACTCCGCCAGGCTTGTATCGTCGCCGCATTGAAAAAGCGGTTGTGCCTGGGGTGCAAACAGCTTGGCGCCATTCCCATTTTCCAAGTCGACAAGTGCCTCCGCAAGAAGAGAAAACAAGTCGTAAGGTGTATATAAGACGTTGAAGATAGTCGCGCGGAGGAATGAGTAGTCGACCAGAGCGTAGCCCGCAGGTGTGACCACTGGAACCGGTTGTTTGCGGATGGCGTTGGTAAGGGCAGTCAATCTGTCGGAGATCTCCTGGGGTGTGCTAGATGACGAAGGGGCAAACGCGCAAGCAGAGGGACCTGCAGCAGCGCAACCGACGAAAAACGTATCCAATGCAGCATCAGTGGAGCTGGACTGAATAGTAAGGTTCGCTACAAAGCGGTTATTATCAACAACGTTGAGATTGAGAATGAGTTCCCTACCTTGGAACCAGCTGTCTACATCGAACCAGCTGTCTACATCGAGAACTCCTGGAATACTGTTAGTCAAGCATAAGGACCAAAGACATGGCCTACCATCCAATATCATCCGCTCAATTTTATCCTATTCTTCCGTCAATCGCCGTAGTTGCTCTCAAAAGTATTTTTCTCACCGGGAAAAGTGCGGCAAACGTTGCACCAAGTACGGTCCCGTACCTAAATTGGCATCGAATATAGATTGAAGCAATTGACAAAGGAAAGCACATACGAGACTCCATAATATTTCAGCTTGTCAAAGCCCATCTTCTGCGTTATCAGGAGCATATCTCTCGCAACGTTGTCCGTTGTGAGGTATTTCAGGATGCCCGAAGAATCTCTCGCGGCTGCAACCTGGCCCTGAATCTGCGCCTGTCCCCAGATCCGCGCAAGGGCTGTCGAGTCCGAGGACGCATTGAGTGAGAGCGGCAGCTCGCCGGCCGCCCACAGCGCAGTTTCGACTCCGGACTTGAAGAATGATACAGCTGGGGTAGAAACGCCGACGCCTTATGTGTTTGCGTGAGCAAGAAAAACCGATGAAGGGTGAGGAAGACTTGCCTCGCGGGTCAAAACTCACAAAATCGAAGTTTGGACCAATAATGCTCGCAAACTCTGGCGCGATCCCTGAGAGGCTCTGAACCCCGCTCCCGCCTGGGCCGCCAGGGTTGAACAGGATGGGCCCCCGATATGCCGGGTCAGTGGGAGCGACCTGGGCAGGAAAACGGATGACCGCGATGGCCGCGGTACCAGCGGAGGGCGAGGAGTAGTCCAGCGGGACAGACAGGCGGGCGCATTCGAAGCCAGTGTCACAAGGCACCCAAGAAAGATCCGTGCTGGGCTTGAGCTGAAAAAAAAAACGATGATTAATTTTGGGAGGAAATGGGTCGAGGAAGACTCACCTTGGCCCAATCAAATGTACTTTGCGCAGTAGAAACGCGGGCCGAGGCGAGTACAGCGACCAAAAACGCGTATTTGCGCGTCGACATGTCGGAGAACCTGGGCTTGGAGACTGCCATTTTACACTCCAAGCTTTGCTTTGGCGAAACGACCCGCACACTCTCGTCCAGTTTTTATCCGGTCCAAAATAGCTTCGGTAGGAGTCTACAGGCTGTTGGATCGACTTCTCGCTAGCTTCAAGATTGACGTTTCCTTGAGTGGAGGTCTAATACCTTCAACGCTGAGCAGGCGCTAGAAGTCGAGCGTCGCAGAGCTGCGGAGCGGGAAGGCGACACGACATGGCCATACATGACAAAAATGCTGTTGAAGTATTCGGAGAGGGTGGTCATGATTGACCATCAATTCGATTCAGAGACAATTCAATGACATTTGTGTAAAAGTCATCCTGATTTAGTCTACTTATGATGCCAAATTTAGCGATCAACGCAAACTGACCTCTGAATGCATGGAGTCTCATTCGAAGTACTCTCAAGGTATCGACAGTTAGTTTCATGGCCAACGAATATGCCAGTCAAGTATATGATCCGCGATCGAGTCAAGTACTAGCAGCCAACTGTACCGGGAACTTCAATCACCTCTATCGAAAACACTACCAAGTAATAGTCTGTCAGGTCCAGAATATCCCGCGGGTTGACACGGGCCGCAACGCCTTCCGTATACTCTTAACTGCCTGTTTGATGCTCTCCTCTTTCGCTTCAGCACGCGCTAATACCCTAGTTGCCACTCTTTGCGGAACGGTTCCAGTTGTGGAGTCCTCCCCAAAAAGGGTCTCGTCAACGGAGCATGTTGTTCCCGGCGGAGGCAGGGTACCGTTATTCATGTACGCTGAGATATAGCCGAGCGTACAGAAGGAGGTGGCGGCCAATGATGTGTGCTGTTGTACCGAGGTCAATCGTGCATCAGACAAGTGGCAGTTGCACTTACCCCAGGTGAATCTTGAGTCAGTATGGCCGAGCCCGGGAAGTCAGCGAGAGTGTTGAGACCTCTACAGTAGTTCAGATCGTGTTTGGACTAGAAATAATAATAAAATACCCGGCTTTAGAAGTGGCTGGATCTACACCAAGATCAATCCCAGTAACAAGCAAGGTTACACCACCTACCAGCAGTATTGGAAACAAAAAGAATCGGGAAGCTCGTATTCGCAACCCTTCCCGGCCATTTAAAGCGACCCTCTCTGTAAACCTTCCATCCACTGCCAATGAAAGGATGTTAGATCGTGCATGACCGTAATAGCTTTAGATCAGCATACCTGCACGTAACTCTCTGCCTGCCAACCAAGAACTCGGAAAACTGAGAGACCTTGTCAACACTGTGGTAAAATGCCACAAGTTGGTCGAACGTGTCCTTGATCTCCGCCCCATCGCTACAAGTCACAGCAATCTGTACATCGTTCGCGTTGTCCGCGTTGGACGGGCTATCACCACATTGGTATAACGGTTGAGTGAGGCCCGAAAAGGCATAGAGCGTTGTGCCGTTTCCCCTTTCCAGATCCGCAAGCGCTTGGGCGAGGATTGGGAACCGGTCGTACGGAGCATAAAGGGAGCTGAAGACCGTTTCGCGAAGAAGAGAATAATCGACAAGGCCGTAACCAGCCGACGTGACGACGGGAACGGGTTGCTTGCGGACATCATTGGTCAATGCTGTCAGTCTGTCGGAGATATCCTTTGGGGTGCCGGACGAAGAAGTGGCGAAGGCACAGCGGGAGGGACCAGCAGCAGCACAACTAGTGAAGAAAGTGCCCAAGGCAGCGTCAATGGAGGTCGATGCGATGGTTTCATTTGCTGCCAAGGGTGAATCATTATGTCACGCAATGCCAATATTGAATTCGCACTTTGGAACCAGCCCTCCATACCAATGACGCCTACAACGTAGTAATTAGAAGGAGTCAAAAGGATGAGGTTGGAAGGGGAATTTCTCACCATCAAGGATCATCCGCTCGATTTTATCCTAACGACATATATCAACCATTGAAATTCGATTATCTCTGGTCACTAACTGGAAACATTGCAGCAAATGTTGCACCGAGCGCAGTTCCGTAGCTAAACAGGTCATTAGTCTTCAACCCCATTAAGTATAACCACGTACGAAAATCCATAATACTGGAGTTTGTCATAACCCAGTTTCTGGTTTATCGACTGCATATCCCTTGCCACATTATCCGTGGTAAGATATTTGAGAATCCCTGTAGAGTCGCGCCGAGCCGCGAGCTGGCCTTGAACTTGAGCAAGTCCCCAAAGGCGGGAAAAAGCCGTCAAGTCTGAGCTCGCATTCAATGATGCCGGCCATGCAGCAGCGTTCCACAAGGCTGTTTCAGTTGTCGATCCGAGAAGAGAGACGGTAGGGGTGGAGAATAAAACGCCTGACCGTATAGTGAATCCGGGAAAAGACCTCAAGACAGGAAACTACTCACCACGAGGATCAAAACTGACGAAATCGAAGTTTGGACCCAAGACAGTAGAGAGTTGGGAAGCGATGCTGAGTAAAAATTGTACGCCACTCCCTCCAGGCCCGCCTGGATTGATTAAGATAGGTCCACGATACGCAGGATCGGTCGGGGAAACTTGAGCGCGAAACCGAATGACAGCAATAACAGCAGTTCCGGCAGAGGGAGAGGAATAATCGAAAGGAACGGAGAGGCGCGCACACTCGAAGCCAGAGTTGCAAGGCACCCAAGAAAGGTTGGTGCTGGGCTTAAGCTGGTATCGCGTCAGTTTTCCCTCGATTCGTAGTGAGCAAAAACTCACTTGAGACCAGTCAAATGTGTTTTGACCAGAAACAACCCGAACCGCAGAGAAGACGGTAGAAAGTAGCGCACATGTGCGTAACTCGCTGAAGAAGGTAAGCATATTTTGACACCGATAGTTTTTCTGCATTGCTCACAGAATGGTTCTCGTTTTTATAACGCGACGGCGCAGCGACTACTTGCCGTAACAAGCGCAAGCATACCACGGACTTTACTTCGTACCCACCGCGTCCCTGCTTTCCCATCATCGAGTTTCCTCTGTTGTACCCTGCCACGAGGTAGCTTGCGCATCGTTTCGTTGATGTCCGTCGGGCGCAGTGCAGTCGACTGCGGAGCGCGCAGCCGGAAGGCGATGTTACGCAACTAGCAGGCTCATACCCAGCCGTCGTCTCAGCGCTAGTCCGAGTCCATAGTTATTAGCTAAATCCGATAAAAATGATTTGAGGCCGAATACCGCCGAGGTGTGACGAGTGTGACGGTGAATTTGGGTTGCGCGCTGAGAGCAAGGCTGAGAGACGAGCGCACCCCCCCAAAACCGTCACATTTCTCACACCTTTTGATTTTACCCTAAAACTGATACTATTTTAGATTCAAATACCGCCTCTCGGATTAGCTCTGCAACGAGGGCTGGGTATGAGCCTGCGCAACTAGGCATTTATTGCTGAAACTTGGCTGGGAATGGTCGTCGTTTGCAACTGGGAGCTTTGGTTGGTGGGACATGGTTGGAGAGAAATCAAGCTAGGTAGTCAGGCATGACGTAACAACTTGAAGCTCAGGCTTTGGCGAACTTTATAAAAAGCAACAAACATGGGATTTATTAGTGAAGAGCACGATAACTGGCTAGGAAGGTTTAGCCAACTAGCTATTAGTATGTCAATGATTTCGCGGCTTTCCCTTCCGTATTGAAGCCCAAACACTCCCCAATCCTGAATTACTCCGTTCCAAAAAGTTCCTGGTCGACTGGACACACAGTTCCCGGATGCGGAAGCGTTCCATTCAGCATGTATGCCGCGAAAGCCCCAAGGGTGCACCGCGATGTTGCCGAAATTGATGTGTGCTACAAACATAGTTAAGACGACTTTGAGCGAGACATTGAGGCGAGCTCGCTCACCCCAGGACAATCTTGTGTAAGCAGGACAGAGCCAGGGAACTTCGAAATAGTCTTCAAGGCTCTGTGGGGGGGAGGACCAGGTGAGTTGCCGAGCACTTTATCGGCTACTATGTTAACGCACCCTGCTTTGGACGTTATCGGGTCTGTGCAAGAGAGAATAAGTCATCGATGAGAACACAGGAGGATGACATACCCGCTGTATTGGAGACAAACAAAATGGGGAAACTAGTCTTGACGACGGGGAGCGGTCCTTTGAAGCGGTCTTGACGATATACCTTCCATCCACTAGAAACTTATCGATCAGATTGGATGGTTTTTTTTAGTTGAGAGAAGCCAAACCTGCAGGTGACCCTCCTCATTCCGACCAAAAATTCTGCAAACTGCGAAACCTTGGCTGCCTTACGGTAGAATGTGCCCAACTCTTCCAGCGAATCATGCACCTCTGCGGCATCCCCACACCCAATAGCTACACCCGCGCCAGAGAAGTCTGGGTCGTTGTTACCACATTGAAACAGCGGCTCTGCTTCTATGGCAAACAGCGCTGCCCCATCTCCCTTCTCCAGATCGGCGAGAGCTTTTGCCAAAGTTGGAAATGTATCGAATGGACTGCTGATCGAGTCGTAGATGGCTGACCGGAGCAATGAATAATCGACCAGCCCATAGCCAGCCGGTGTCGCGACTGGAACGGGTTGTTTGCGGACTGCATTAGTGAGGGCGGTCAGTCGAGCGGCGAGTTGTTCTGGCGTGTTCTTCTTATTATTCGCAAATGGGCATGTAGACGGGCCGGCGGCGGCACAAGAAGTAAAAAACGTCTGCAGAGCAGCGTCTGCTGAAGATGCTTGAACGGATAGGTCCGCTAATCGTAGTTATGAGCAAGGGGTTGCAAGAGAAAGTAAAAACGTGCCTTGATACCAGCCATCAGCATCGATAACACCTAAAACAACATGCCCGCCGTCAATAACTTGAGAAGGAAAGCAACATGGTTTACCATCCAAGATCATTCGATCGACTTTATCCTTGAATCAAAATTTCTGTCAATAGCTGTGAGCAAGGGATACACGAAAAGCTAACCGGAAACAGCGCCGCAAAGGTCGCGCCAAGCACGCTCCCATATCTAATAGCCCACATTGAGCCCTTTATCAGGAGAAAAAAAAACGAAGAATGACACACGAGAGTCCATAATATTTCAGTTTCGGAAACCCCATTTGTTGGGTGATCACGAGCATATCGCGAGCAACGTTGTCCGTCGTCACATATTTAAGTATACCGGTCTTGTCGCGCTCAGCAGCCACCTCACCCTGGACCTGGGCGAGGCCCCAGCTCCGCACTAGGGCAGTGGAGTCGGAGGATGCGTTTAAGGAAGTGGGGAACGAGCCTGCATCCCACAAGGCTCGTTCTACCGGAGATCCAAAAAGCGAAACGGGAGGAGTGGAGACGCCAACACCTGAATAGCAGTGTTAGTGAGAGTTTTTTTACAGGGGAAAAAGTTGCACAAACCGCGCGGATCGAAACTAACAAAATCATACTGCGAACCAAAGAGAGCGGGGAATCTGGGAGCAAAAGCCACCAGAGCCTCGACACCAGTCCCTCCTGGGCCACCAGGGTTGAAAAGAATTGGCCCACGGTAGGCAGAACTGCTTGTGGACACATTGGCGGGGAGACGAACCACCGCAATGGCTGCCGTTCCGAGGGAGGGCGATGCATAGTCGAGAGGTACCTCAAGCCGTGCGCACTGGAAGATGGAGTTGCAAGGAACCCAACTCAAATTAGCGCTAGGTTTTAGCTAGGGAAATTTCATCAGACATTATAGAGGTTATGAGTGTTGAAGCGCACCGAGGACCAGTCAAAGGTATCAGTGGCATTCTGGGCGATGGCGGGAGAAACCAAGAACGAGGTGAGAAGAAGTGGAAGGAATAACATGGAAGTTTTTGGAGACGAGTTAGTGTTCATCGTTCTGCCTGCTGGTCTTTATAGTGGTCTGCGACGGGGTAAAAGTCAGAGGCTTACTATTTCTTTATCATGAAAGAAGACTGCGTCCCTTCCCTTGCTGTCGAACTCGGTGTTGGACCGCCCAAACTTTCGGTCCGCCACAACTTGCAAGTGTCAGGCTGCGGTCCGTCAAGCTCAGCCTGCGGAGCGGAATAACGTGGTCGGTGTTGTATATCTTGTAGTGCATGGCCCACCGAGATCCATCGGAGGCAGCGAGCAGGCTTGGAGTTTGAGCTCAGAGTCAAAGTGTCCGACAAAAATTGTTGATCACGGGATTTGACCAAATTTGACCCAAAGCCATCCGATTCGAGTGGTACTGGCTTCTCCATAAACCACTAATTTATGGCGCCAACCCTCCCCATTGAACTCGAACGAATCGTATTCGAGATTGCCGCTGACACGAACCGCGCAAATATCCCTTCTCTCATTCGTGTTTCTCAGCGCGCCCGAATCTGGTTAGTCACTTCTGTCGCATTCGCCGACTGATCAACCTCTTTTCAGGTTGGAGCCTCTGCTATATACCACTTTACGGCTGGACCACCGCTCTACACGGCTCAACTCTGCTGCTATCTATGCAATTTCTCTTCGGCCGCCTGAGTTCCTGGGCAAACACATTCGACACGTTCTCCTCGTTGCCGGCGTGCAAACTCTTCGCCCTTCAATACTTGTCCAATTCCTCGAGAAATGCGAGAATCTAGAGAATTTCGTCATTGTGGGCGACCTTACAGGGCGGTGGCTCTTGCAGCCGCTTGGGCAGACAGGAAGGGGAATCAAGAGGTTAGGAATAGATGTCGGGGAGTTGTTTGTCAACAACAAGGAGGGAGAGCTGGAGCGTGAGCTTGAAGACTCTGGATTGAGCGATGAAAAATCCTCGGGAAGCGACAGCCCAAACGAAGAGAGGCCAGAACTTCTATTTGAAGAGGAGGAATATCAAGAGAGTGACGACGAACAACAGCCCGCGCGTCGCCGGCGTCAGCCTGGATTTATACTCGACACAGACTCCGACCTCGAATCAGACTCGGATGGAGAGCAACATGTCTCTGTCGTAGAACCCAACCCAGCAAACGAATCACTGGTCGTTAATCTAAAACATTCGCTTTTCCGCTCTGTTACTCACCTTGACCTTCTCGACACGTTCGACCCCGAAGACGAAGAACTCGCGGACATACCTTGGGTTCATCATCTTAATCTCCTCCCGTCGCTCACGCACCTCTCGCTCAACTCCATGGTGCATCCACTCCCTCTCTACTTAATCATTCAATCTTGCCCCCGTCTCGAAGTTCTCATGGTGCTCCTCCATCATTCAGACTCATGGCGCTCATACGGGCGCGAACTTCGCCGCCACTGTCCTGATCCACGTGTGATTGTGGTATGCTACAATGATGCTTACGACGAATGGGAGGACAGCGCGCGGGGCAGGGGTAGGGACGATATCTGGGTCAAGGCTGAGCGATTGATCGTACGGCGCAGAAGTGAATGGCCCTCGAAACAGAATGTTCTGTTGTATGAGCATTGAAGATACTTTACTCAACTTGAAGATGTCACAACCCCGCAATGCCCGAGGCCGGATCGCAAGGTGCAAAAAGAGGTTGTGGTACATGAACGGCACCATCGCCAGTCAAATCTTGCGGCTTGAATATCGAACCATGGCCCAGGGTCTACATACTGAGGCCGTCGAACTTCGGCAGTAGGGTGGGGATGGTGAATTGGGCGTACAATCTACGGGCGAGCACGGGAGCATCGCCAGTTACTCCCACAATTCAACCGGCAGTTTTATACGTCCGGAAACGTCAGTCTTATCGAGACTGAGGGTGCGGAGATACTACTTAGCACTCCCAGTTCTTGAAAATGACAAGATCGGCCACTTTCTGGGACAACTCGCGCCATGTATCTCGGGTACTACTCCCCTCAAGCCTAACGAATTGTTGACGATCGTTCACTGTCTGCATCGTGAGCTCTGTTGACTTCGGCCATCGAGTACTGACGTTGCCAGATACTTCCACGAACGTGACTGTTCACATGTCAGTGGGCCCGGTAACGGTTGAACCGCAGCACATAACAAAGCGGACAGATCTCTGTTCTCTTGCCCATGGGCCCCGTGAGATTGCCGGAAGCACTGACATGCGAGGGACGGGACTTCTAGATGGTATGCTATCGCGCCACTGGGCGTTATCGCTTCCCAAGATGGTGAGTTCTTTCTCCTCTTGGATGTGTTTGCAACTGAAAATAGTATATAGAAGAGACCAAAGTCTTCTCAGGATGATATAGGGAGCCTTGGATTTCACGTCCCTCTCGCCTCCGTGGACTGTTGTCGACATTATCCGCCATGGCCTCCACTGAGAAAGACGACATCAAAGCCGCGTTGAGTGAGAAGGCGTCCACTCACTCAGACCTCAACGAGAAGGCGGACTTGGTTCTGGCCGATATTGTGGGTGTATTTCTCCTCCCCTCCAGCCCTTGGTCGTCTGACAGGCCGTTTATGACAGGCCGTATTGGAGAGCGACATTCAAGCTGTTCCCGACGACATCCTTGAAGCTGCTGAATATGCGCGGACGATGAGCCATGAGGAGGTTGAAGAGACCATCCACCAGATTGTCGAAGAAGTAAGCATCCTGTTGTTGGTATTAATGAGCATTGTTGACCGGGATACAGCATGGAGACGATCCTGTGTGTGCTCGCATGCTACGTCGGGCCATAATCCTCTAACCTCAAAGCTAGAACTTCCCGCCGGCTGTTATTGCCGCTGCCAGGTATCACAATTCCCGTCTCGCTTTTCTGGTGCCAAACTTTCTTAGGCGATACATCGAAGACGACCAATTGAAAGAAAACCCCGAACAATATCGAAAACTTTATGAAGAACTCAAGGTAGAGGCAGCTATGATCAAGATCGTGAGTTCCCTATCTACATCTGTACTCTGAACTGTGGATACCATTGATTCTATAGAACTCGGCCTATGCAGAGGTTCGCGCTGTGGTGTCGAATCGCGACGAGGACGTTCCCGCCGGCACGTTCCGCGCATGGCTAATTGGTACCATATTCGTTGCGGCTGGGTGAGTGATCATTTACCACAAAGTCTGAACTAATGTTGTCCTCCCGATGTCAGCGGCTTCATCAACCAGTTCTTCAGCATTCGGTAAACGTCTTCCTTTTGGCATAATTCCGCCGACACAACCACAGTTTTCCCGGAATCGGTGTCGGATCGAATGTGGCGCAAGTCCTGGCTTTCCCTGCAGCTAAGGCTTTGGAATACCTTCTTCCGACAACGCAATACACGACATTCGGCTACAAATGGAGTTTTAACCCGTCAGTATCTCGCTCCGACCTGTCGAGATCTAATTATTTTGGACAGCGGGCCGTTCAATCCGAAGGAGCACATGATCATCACGGTATGCTGGCTGAAATCTGGCGTTCTCGTCTGAGCACACCGCGACAGATAATGGCGAATGCCGGCTTTTCGACCCCGTATACGTATGCTATTTATGCAATCATTCGAATTACTAATACTCACAACTGAACAGGAACAGTGTACGTCGGCGGAACTACACTTTCTTAATGAATTGACTTCTGGTAGATTATCTGGGTCCAATATCTGCCTTTGTACTTCAATCAGTCATGGGCAACGGGTTTCGGGTACCAGAGTACGCATACGTTCCCATAGTCCTACGCAAACCAAAACTGATTCATTCTCTAGTCATGGTCGCGCTTTCCACTAACTACATCGGATACGGAATCGCGGGCCTCTGTCGGAGGTTCTTGGTCTACCCAGCGAGTGCGATATGGTATACGAACCTCTCGGTGCGTTCGAAATCTGCAGGCGGATCTGAAGAATGGTTAACGTTGACAACTGTAGATCATTGCGTTGAATCGCGCGTTCCATACCGAAAAGGAGACTGTTGCCAATGGTTGGAGAATATCTCGAGTGACTTTGACGCTTGAAAGTCGGATGACTACTGATTCTTCTTCAGTTACGTTGGTTCTTGTATTGCTTCTGCGCTATGTTTGTGTATTTCTGGTTCCCCGAGTGAGTATTTTGGCTTTGTCTCCGTTCGGGACTAATACTCGTCAAGCTACATATTCCAGGCGCTATCGTACTTTAACTGGATTACGTGGATTGACCCCACAAACGTGAAGCTTGCAGCAGTAACTGGTGCCGTCAGTGGCCTCGGATTGAACCCAATCCCTACATTCGACTGGAATCAACTGGTCTATGCTGTAGACCCCTTGATCTTCCCGTTCTATGTGAGTGGTTAAGTTCCTGTCAGAATACGATTAATATTCCTTCGTTCTCAGAGTACTGTCAACGTAAGTGGTGCCTTGACCTCTAAATCGATCTGGCAACATTATCAACTCCGTAGACTTTCCTCGGGGTAAGTCAGTCATTCTATTTACAGCATAGTGAACTCAGCATCTGTAGACGTTGATCACACTACCCATCATTCTTGCGATCTGGTTTAGCAACACATGGTTTACGGGTTACCTCCCTATTAATAGTAACGTGAGTAATCGATTCTTTCTCAGCGTATACTTATCCTAAATCCACACAGCATGTCTATGATAACACGGGAGAGCTGTACACGGTGTCAAGAGCTGTCGGAAACAATACACTCTTCGATGCGGCACTGTACGATGACTATTCTCCCGCTTAGTGCGCATTCGTCCTCGACACTTCCATTCATACTGACATATTTACCTTCCTGATAGCCTGGCCGCTGGGAACATTCTGCTTTATGGCGTCTTCTGTGAGATATTTTTGTCTTCAGTGGTCGCATAGCTGTCTTTCTTATCGCCGCCCAGTCGCTGTCTATACAGCTACTCTCAGTCACGCGTTCCTATTCCATCGGCGCGAAATTTGGCACGGGTTACGGAGCGTTTTCAGTCGGAAGAAGACCTCCGAGTTGCACACGGACATTCACGTTCGGTTGATGATGAAGTACAAGGAGGTGCCTGAGTGGCAGTACTTCATGTCGGTGATCTGTCACCGACAAATGCTTTTTTGGCTCACGGACGGATAACAACAGGATACTAGTCGCCGCAATCGCACTCGGCGCGGCTGGCGTGGGTGTTTACCCCACAGAGACAACGCCAGCGGTTGTTCTATATGGAGGTCCGTCCCACTACGTTCTTCTTTCTTATCAGGTTTATTGTCGCACCCAGTCTTCCTTGCGTTCATCTTCGTGATTCCCATTGGGATTATTCTGGTGAGTTTATTCTCATGATTGTCCCTAACCTTAAACTCGGGATGGCAGTCTATTACCAACGTTCAAGTCACCCTTAACGTCCTCGCTGAGCTGTTCGGTGGTCTCTGGTTCCCTGGAAATGCAGTTGCCATGAATTACTTCAAAGTCGGTATTGATTCTCCTCCGTTTCAATCACCACTACATTGATTCTCAGTCTTATGGTTACGTGACTACTGCACATACTCTCACGTTCTCTCAAGACCTCAAGCTCGCGCACTACATGCATATCCCACCAGTGATCACGTTCTGGGCCCAGAACTGGGCGACACTCGTGTCTACGTTTGTGTGCACAGCAATTCTCAATTTCCAGATGACGCAAATACAAGGTGTATGTACTCCGCACCAGATCGACCATTTCAGCTGTCCTGGCATCAACACATTCTTTACGGCGAGCGTTCTCTGGGTGATATCGTTCAATCAGATGCAATTGATTGTATTGCTGATCGTATTGATGACAGGGAACTCTAGGACCCAAGCGCATGTTCGGAGCGGGTGGCATTTACAATGGACTGATATACTGCTTCCTTATCGGCGCTGTGCTTCCTATCCCCTTCTATTTCCTTCGCAGACGTTTCCGCGTTTTCGAGTACTTCCACCTTCCTGTCCTCCTCACGGGCGGCTTGATCTGGTACGTGGCGCTCTTTGTTGCTCTTAAGGTGCTTTCAACCGTGTTCAATAGGGCCCCTGGAAGCATGGCAAATATGTGGCCCGCTGTTCCCGTCGCCTATTTCTTCAACGTCTTCATCCGCAAGCGCTACCTCGCATGGTGGAGTAAATACAACTAGTGAGTGACCTATTGACAACCGCGGATCCGATGCGTTGAACCAGAATTGCCAGTATCACCACTACAGCGTTCTCCGCCGCCATCGCCATCTCTGCCATCGTGATCTTCTTCGCGCTCGAGTGGCCAGGCGTGACCATCGACTGGATTGGCAATAACCGTCCGTTCGAAGGATGCGACAACGACGGCTGTCCTTTGTTCCCGATTCCAGACTCCGGCACATTTGGTCCTGTAAGCGCGATTGCTTCCCCTAAAAACCCACTTCAACGATCTATTTATAGGTGGCTGGCCAGTTCCACTGAGGTTTGGGTTTATATTTGGGGCTGTGAATGTGTCTGTACTGTTGTTACTATCGGTGTAAGTAAATGTACTATGATCTTGCTTTTCATTGGTTAGTCCTGTCCGATGGGCAAATTATACGCCGCCAGACGGAGGTTATGTTATGGCGCCCATGTTATCAAGGCCATCGGTCCCACACGGATTTGAATCCTTGGTTGATTATCGCATTCGCGCCCACGTGAGCACATGACGTCACGCGCATTGTCGAATTGGGGGGCCAAACACCATTTTTTAAAGGTGCTAGTTCTGGAAGTATTCAAAACGCTAATCATTCTACTTGGACTGATTCAATGGTAGAAAACGTCTATAATGTGTCTAAAGAAAATAGCTTGCACAACCACAACGTTGATGCTTGGATACAAGTAAAAGATTTTGGGCTGAATTCCGGTCCGGCCATCTACAAACTAAGTTAATGGAACATTCCAAGAAGGGTTGCACTGTATGTCAGATCAGAATATGGCTTTGCCCGCTGGTAACTGTGTCACATACGGCACGACTCGGATGGCAACGAGCACGCAAGGCTAGGCTTGGTCCAGCGTGAAACGGGGCAACGCTGCTGGTAAGAGCGCAGAGGCTTTCCGCGAAGTTACAGCGGCAGCAGCGGGTACAGGCAGCACAGCAGACGACTGTACAGGAGACCGCCACTACCGACAGGCGGCTTGACGACATTCCTGGCGGGCATCCACAAGGGTGGACATCGGAGGAGGAATGTCGATCAAGCGCCGTGGTGAGGTGCGGCCGCCGTCGAAGACCGCCCGCAACTGCCTGCACGAGCGCGCATCAGCGTTTCGAAGAATGGCAAGGAGGGGCCGTCTCGAGAGGGAAGGGAGCAGCGGTTGGCCCCCAGCATCTCGTAGCGAGCGGGGGGGCCTTTTTAATGCCTGGAGACCGTGCTCGCCAGGGTCGTGTGACAGCTGGTGATGGATGGTGCGATGGGGGGCAGCTGGGGTTGGCGACGGGGCTGAGATTCACCCGACAATCACGGCGGATTACCATAGCGCGACAAGGGCGGAGCGTTGGTAAGCCAGCTTCAGAGAATACAGATGCCTGAGATGGCTTCCCTGGACGCCAAAGCCACAGTTGTCGGCGCTGGGCGGCAGCCAGAGGCCAATTTCGGCGCCCAGTGTTGTGCTCACTGCGATGGACGATGCTGCGCCCCCGACATGCAAGCGCCGGTACTTGGCTGATCGCTTGCATGATGGTGGTCCAGCACGGAGAACCATGTGTTGCAGCCAGCTTAAGCAGATCGCTTTCCGGGGAACGTGGTTCCGGAACCGCTACCACAAAAACAAGTGTGCAAGTACTAGTCAAAGTCTCCACGCAGACCATTTCGAATTGCGAATTTAATCCGCTAGCGGCAAGCCGCTCGGCGAGTGAAGTCTTCTGCACGATAATCAGGGACAGCGTGAGCACCCTGAGGGGCTTTCTATGGGGTTTCAGAAGGCCTGACGGTATCGCGAAGCGATAATTACTTGCAAGGTGAGTGCGCGAAGACAGAGACACCAAATGGAGAGAGGAAATCTGCGTGGCAGCCTTCGTGGAATACGAGAGGACAGATGGAGCCGACGCCTCGGGAAGAGGGCAAAATTTGCGATTGACCAGATTGGTGCGCATATCATATTTCCTTCAATGGATTGATGGCGGCTGTAGTGGACACATGCGCAGACGATATGACTGATGTCCACAGAGGCGGAGTTGCGAGACTGGAAGTCGCGAAAGCAGCAGCCATGATATTGCTCCAAGTTGTAAGTCGTGTCTTTCCACAGCTGCAAGCTAGAGCTTTCAAAAGTTTCGAGAAGGCTAGAAGGAGTGGATCATCGAGAAGCAACTGAATGCTGGAAGCCGGACTCGGACTCAGAGACAGAGGCAGAACTGAGAAGGCGCCACCGCTACGCAGAATGGAGCCGCATACAGAACGCCTTTATTGAAAATTCAAGGCGATGCCACTTCGAGTCGGGGGTGATTGCGCTGGCAGGTTGGTTATTCCAGAGATTTAACGGCCGAAGCACTGGCAGCCGAGGCGGGGCTCCGAGTCTCCCGGCAGCTGTTGCTCGATACCACTTGATGGAGCGAATGTTCAATGCAGGTCTCCTCAGTAAGTACTGGCTGAAAGTTCGCTTGAATTCGAACACTCGGATCGGCTTCAGAAGTTGGCGTTTGACAAGTGCTTTTGTACTTTAGATGGGATGAAGGAAGATGCATTTGAGCCGCATACACACTTTTCTCGAGGGTGTCTGAGGAGGAAACGTGTATGTGTGACCAAACGTGACGCTTCGGCTATCCGGACAGCACGTGATTTAGCGAGTCTTCACCTCGTGCCACATGCACATTTTCCCCCGTCGAGCTCGTCCTGACTCCTTTGCGCGACACTCCACGAGCGACGATATCCTTGCAACGCGAACTTAGAGAGAGCGCGCCAAAAAAGCGCACTGTTGCTCGACTCTTGACACCGTCCATGGCCGTGCCCACCGTGCCCCAATATATAATGATGCTGCTTGGCACCCAGCACCCTTCCCCTCGTCGTCTCCCTCTTGTCCATGTGTACCGGCGTCGCCATCGCAGCCTTGAATGCCAGTAGCCCCGCGACCCCGTCCCCCATCGGGCAAGAATCGTCCTCGGTTTGGATCGCCACGCTGGAGATTTGGGCGAGTGCAGGACTGCGTGAATATCGTGCGGGCTCACGCTGACCACCCCCCAGGTCGGGACCCTCCTATACGGTGTGTGTCCCCCCGTCGACGTTGACCACGACTCACTGGCCACTAGGTGCCTATTGTGTGCTCTTCGCGCGCGCCACACAGATTCTCCTCCGCCGCATCCAAATTTTCGAACGTCAGGCGCCGCTCTTTCTCGCCATTGCCGTGCTCTTTCTGCTCTCCACGGCCCAGACGTTCGTCCTCACGGTGAAGGCCGCCGTCGTCACCAATGGGCTCCCGCCGATGCCGCTGGCGCCGGTGAATGCTGCGTCGTTGCTCGTATATGTCAGCAGCTGGTGTGTTGCTCCCCCGTTCTCCGCTGTTTACCTCTCAGACGTTTTCCTTCATAGCCTCTGCTCCGACGCGTTGCTGGTCTGTTCCAAAATGCATATGTATCATCCCGCAGGCTCACCTCCCTTGAGATATATCGCTGTCTCGTCATTTGGGATAGCAAATACCTCGTCGTCACACCCTCAGTCGTGCTGCTTATATGCTCCACCTGTAGGCGAATGACACTCTCCTTCAACCGATGCTAACATGGCGCCGATGACTAGTCTTCGGATACATGCAGCATCTCCGTACATTCCAGATCCTCTCTCTGACGACGGCGATCAGCGTCACGCTGCTCACCCGTATGCGCAAGCCCTCGCATGGTCTTTTCTTTTCTCATTTTGATTGTAGTGGGCCGCGTGATCTGGGCGGGGTACCGGCGCCGTGCCCTGCTCGACACTGCGCTGCGGAGACGATACGTCGGGGCCGGCGCTGCCATGTGGGAGGCATCCCTACGTTGAGGGACCCATGCTAACAACCCCGATGCACAGTCTGGAGTCCGGCGCCGTGTACGCCGTATCCGTATCGATCCATTTCGCCTTCTTCACGGCGCGCTCCCGCGCGGGACCGGCAAGTTCCCCTTCTACGCGTCTATTTCCGTGCGACTGATGCCTTGAACTAGGTGGTTTTTGCGGCTGTGGCGCAGATCGTGGTATGTGCATGCACCGCTAGCTTTCGACTCGGACTGACGCGGAGCTGGCTTGGCAGGGTATTGCGCCGACGTTGATTGTTGTGCGGGCGGGGCTACCGCCGGCGCCGGGCGTGGCGCCAGTCTCCCGCGTTGACCTTAGGAGTCTGCCACCGAAGAGGTCGACTTCGACGGTGGAAAGTGGGGGTCTGGCGACCCCGGTGTGAACGAGCATCACTTGCTACTTATTTATTTATTGATGATATGTGGCATCCAGATCCAGCTTTGAATTTCATTGTGTTGTCACAACTTATTGTACTTTAATGTCTCACTCAATTCAACTATGATTCGAGGTAGGGTCGACGAGCGGCATAGCACAAACTGATTAAAAGTACATAAAAAGTGTCCTACATATACAGCATTATAGTAGCAATTGGGTCTGAGACTGGCAAATGTGGGTAAGTATTTTCAGATTCCAAATTATCCTGGCAGGAGCTTAAGCTTGATTTTTAACTGAGAGTAATATTTCTTCAAAGTATTTGAATCACACTAGGGCTTCTGCTAAAGATTGTTCCCAAAGCAGAACATAATTCTAATGTTTAACAGCTTTAATTGATAATCAAGAAAAGAACACTTAATCTGGTCAAGGAGAAATCAAGTTCTGTATCAGGGCATAAAATCCAGAATATTTGTTAATAATAGATACATCTCACTTAAGCCTCAATATTTTTCAAAAAAAATATTATTGCCTGAATTTTTTCCCTTTTTTCTTCTTCTCTTAAGCCATTTTTCACTTATCTCTGATATATTAGGTACATTTTGCTGCCGGACCTGGCACATCTGGTCTTATATGTTGTGGCATATTTGCTACAGATTATGGTTATAAAATGGTCTGTTGATATTAGCTTTGACTCATATCCTTGCTCATATCTGATCTGAGAACTTGATAAGTATATGATCCCATTACTTGCAAACAAGTATAATCATCCATACCTGTGGCATGGATCCGAGGGGTGGCACGTGAAATTCACATGTTTCACGTGCGTCCACATGACTTTCTGTCAATGCCAGCACGGTAGTGTTTTCATATTATAGACAAGTATAACGACTGTGGCTATGGCATGGATGAAAAATTAATTGCAGTGCCCGCACGGCCGCTCGCCTGTGGCTCGCAGCCGGCGGGCAGTATCCGAGGGTGGTCATGTGAAATTCACGTGTATCCACATGACCAAAACATGACTTTCTGTCATTACGGAATTTCCAGCTATTTTCATATATAAGATCAAGTCTACTTTCTTTAAGTTTCATTTTCCATCTGTTCAAGTTATTAAAATGTAAATTGTCATTGTCCCTGGTATGAACTGTATAAGTTGTCCTAAGTACTAGGATTATTTACATCTGTTACCAATAAAACAATATGTCTTGAATATGCATACTGACCCATTTCAATCAATTCAGCGGGCCTGTGACGCGTGACCGTTTGGCCGGAATGTTCAATTTGGCCATGTGACGGTTCGGGTCGGGCCGTCGGGCCCTATACGGCCCATCGGGCCCTCACCACCCTTAGAGCCCTAGGGCTTGACAAACCCTCATAATTCACAAGCTCAAAGCAATGAGCAACAACACTAATATCCCAGAGAAGGGACATAATCACGGATCGCGCTTTAGTCAGCCATCAAGCCATCATGACCCGCCATCAGGGATCATGATGCGCCGCCGGACGCCCTTGACAGCGGGCCCAATCGGCCCCAGACAACCACAGGGATCAGGAGGGAGCTCCTCACTGTTGCATTGCCAAACACTCCTTAGTGTCGACTTTGGCATGGCTCCTTTCCAGAGGAATGGTCCCTGGGCTCCTAGCGGAGCGACCAGGGACGACCAGAGACATCCCCTGCTCCATTCTGATCGACCCTCAGCGGGCCCGATCGGCCCCTAGCGCCCACAGTATATAAAGACTACAGTATTACTCCTGTACCTTAGGTTTAGCATTGAAGTCTCTTCCTTTGAACCCTACTCCGGCCTGGTCCCCTAGAGCGGGGTTGCTGCGACCATACCCCAGGAAAGGGGCGTCTAGACGACTTCCAACACTCCAGGCTAGCTTGCCTCATTGACCTGAGCCCTTGGTTGGGCTGGACAGCTCAGGCTCTTGTCTCTTATGTTCACCCTTGTCCTAGCCACTTCTTCTTGCTCTCTGGCCTCAAGCTCTGGGTTCCCCTGGTACAGGGCGATGGGAGGGTGCGGGCCCGATCGGGCCCGCATGTCACGCGTCACACCGCGCAGTCACGCGGTGTCTAGGAGCCACAGCGACTCGTTTCTCCAGGAAAGGAGATATGTCGCCCCTTGGACTGGCAACCCTTCTCAAGCGCTCCAGGGGTCTCGGGCCCGCAGCCCCTGCTGCGGGGCGACTCCCCTCGACCCCCCGAACCGTCGGGCGTGACCGCGTTACGTCACGCCCCCCGCCCGAACAGCTTGTTCAACTGGCTGAGCCTGTGCTTCCCTATGCCTTGGGCACCAACTCTACTAGACAGCACTCTTTGGCTATGGACTCGTTCCCTTCAAGCGGGGTAGGACACTCTAGGCGACTACTCGTATCCCGTGACACCGCTGTCACACAACGTGACAGCGGGGCGTCTCGAGTCGCCCCGAGTTGTCCCGACCCTGCTCTCTATTGCAGCGGTGGCACCCATCTACGCTGCCTGGTTGCCAACCACCCAGCTATGGGGGTTGAACCATCTTTCCCACACTTGTCAGACTGGCAGGAGATCGTCACGTGGGCCCGGGCCGGCCCCGTTCCTGACAGGCCGCAGGCCAAATTCTGACATATTACCTGATTAGGAAATTCGCCGCAGAAAATTTGAAATCTTACTTAATTGGGACACTTTGGGACCAAAGAAATTTGCTGTGACCTGTGACCCGCCAAAGTATTTCGGCCAAAACATCTCATGTGACCGTGACCCGCCTAATTGAATGAAATGGGTCAGTATATGACCATACTCTGGGAATACTATGTAAAATATTTCCTGGGCAAGCTGTTTTCTTTTATAAGTATTTTAGTATTTTAAAGCAGGAGTCTCTTTGACGTGAGAGTGTGACAGCGGCATGAGTGATGCAGTGGTCAATCACAAATCAGGGCATTTTCGGTTTGGTCGGTATAAGGAAAACTGATAAATCAGTTTGTGAACCACAAGGAGTATAACTTACAGTCTTCAAATAGTATATGTACAACTTCAAGTTGAAGTTGGCCCTTGGGGGTAGCTGTACTTAACGGTGGCTGTAGCTATAAGGCACTATGAATACTAAAGCAGATATTTTCAGCAAAAACCTATCCTAAAAGAGAAAATTTGGTTTATTTCGGTGATCTCAGCCAAGGTGTTTATAAACTTAAAAAACGGTTTAAAAACAGGGGTCTGAGGAGGTCTTTGATAAAACAGGTTTGATAACCTAGATTTTTTCTAAAAAACCAGGCCCTAGTAGCAAGGGGGTTCAAGATTCTTATCAGGCACATGGAGTAGGGGGGAGGGGGGGTCCCTGGGGGTAAAAAATTTTTTCTATATGAAAGATTCTAGCCTTATATGAGTGTAAAGACACTGAAAATATAGTGTATACACTCTAATTTCTATAGTTAAGTACTGTTACTACAGTGTTACTTTGATGTGCTGTGCTTTCAAGTTTACCAACTCAGAGTATTTGCTATCCCCTGGCAACAGTGGCAAGGTAATTGGGGCCCATTGTGCGGCCAAATGCTATAAATATCAACTACTTAGTCAGGTGCATCATATGATCGTCACGGTGGTTACCGGATCGCCTTCAACTCTATTTGGAACCACGATGTACCGGTCGAGGAGGTGGCAGACAATGGGGCGCGAGTCGACGGCGGCTGTCCCGATAGTGGGTGAACCGCGCCTTCCCCCGGAGCTCGAACGCGAGATCTTCGAGATTGTGGCGCTGAGGACGCATCAGCAAAATCGTTTTTTTCTGGGCCGTCTGGGCTATCTAGCTGATCTAGCCGGTCTGGCTCTAGTATCTCCAGAACACGGCTGGGCCCAGACCACTGCCAGACCCAGCCTAGACATTCACCTAGATTGCTAAAATAGTATTTCATTCGCATGTGCGTCTATATACTTATTTACATGAAAAGCTTCGAAAGCGTCAAGAGAGTGTATGTAGCGTAAGTCGCGAGGAATTTCACGCTGTCCAAAGACAGGAATTAGATGTGCGGCACGAAGCATGCTGTCTAGATGCTCGATGGTCAGTAGACGCGACCCATTCCTCATCTCTGGCTTCACAATCCACATGCCCGTCTGGCGGTCCGGGCGGCGTGCAACTTTCTTGAACCATTCAACGAGGGCACAGGGATGGTGAGTGCCCTGATAGGTGAAGGAGAAGAGGAGCCGCACACGAACAGCGCTCATTCCTTTGAACCCAGCAATGTCCTCGTTCTCCACCAGGAGCGCGCAGTCACGTCGAGGGCCATGCTTGCGCCATGACGGAGTACATCGAATCCGCTCTCGTTTCATTCCGAATGCCAGAGGGGTCACTTGGCGAGTAGAAACTCGCAATTGCCGAGTGGAAAACAGCAAGATTCCGAATGTCGTCCAGGTCGATATCGTCGGGGAATTATTTCATCGTCTTCATCGGAGCTGGGGGCGGAGAAGGGGGCGGAGATAGGCTTGGAGAAGCGATGTAAATTGAGGAACTCCAATATGATTCCCGAGCTCGCCAGGACGAGCCGGGTATGACCGTTCTGTGGGGATTTAGAGAAAAGACAAGACATGAAGATTGATCTAACCGCGAGTACGGGCAAGTACTACCGAACCCTCTACCCGGGGGCTATCAATAGCTTCCTCCTCCTCGGCATCATCCTCGGAGATAATTTTGTCGGGGAGGGTAGGGTATTGGGGTCGCAGCATTCCTCGCTCTTCAAAGTCTGCACGAGCAGCAGCGAGCTTGTCGAGACGTTGATTCGTGAGTAGCATTTGCCCTAATGCCTCGAAACGGCTTGACCGACGCCAGGGCTTCTTTACCGCAGTAATGTGGCGAGATTCGGTAATGGAGGAGCAGACGCCATATGGAGCACCAAACTGTTTAATGTCGCGGACGTAATGACACATTGAGTGCTGTCGCGGAAGTGAAAACCCATCGGGGCGAACTCCTGATGTTCGGAAAAACTCTCGACGGTCGTGATAAGTCGCAAGAGCAGTGTCGACAGCCTGTAATGTTGTTTCGTCAAAGTCCTGACGTCTTACAAGATAACAAAAATCAAGGAAGCTACTAAGCGCTTCCACGAGCTCACAAGGGACAAGGTCTTTAAGTGCCGGCAGATAGACCTGGCAAATGGTTAGAGACAATTGAAGCAGTGACAAGTACCTGCCTTCATTAGGGCCTTTGAATCATCCCCAGTCCATTGTTTGAACCGACGACCTTGTTTGAAACGACGCAAACCAGCGAATGATGGAACCGCTGCAATCCTGAGACAAGTTAATCAATATTTTACAATATTCCTCACATTAGACTTACCGACGGTCAACTTCATCGAGGATCCTTTCCGCCTCCGCTTTTTCGTGGACGAGATAAAGGTATTCGCTCACCCACTCGACGAGATGGTCCTTAAACGTCCCCTTGATCAACTGGTGAAGAAGATCTGGCGATACGAGAGGGGACGCAAACCGAAATACCGGCTGAGCGACCTCCCATTTCACACCCAGGAACACCGGGCACTGTTCAAGCAACGTGTTGTGGCCGATGTCATCGATTGGGCAGGGTGTTTAGCGCAACCATTCGCTGCTGCTGCCCATCCAGACTTCAAGAAGATCGTCAAGGAAGCTTACGAAGCGGTCTTCTCTAGCGACCCCGAATCACCGTTCGCTATTACGAAGGCGGTATATGGTGTGGTACGTTACCCTCAATGCCTGTTCTCTCGTTTGATGTCTGTCTACAGGTTTCCGGCGCTCTCTATACCTGGCGGAGCGAACTTGGAAAGGAGGCACTCGCTATCGCAGGCGACATTCTCCATGAGGTCCCTAATGATGAGAATGGCAAACCTATCACCTTGGTGCCTATCACCCCCGACATCGTCGCTGAACGTGCAAAGAACTATCTGAAGAATGCCGATTTTCTCTATGCTGGTGGAGCAGCACATGTGCGTCAGTTCATGGCAGCCTTGACCCATGCACTAACTCTTGTAGACGGGCTCTTACCGGTCTCGGTTCATTCTCGAGCCGCTCGGACGGCAGCATATCCGCCTAGCGATACAGCCCCGAACGGACCCAAACTATGGTTTTCCAGCTGGGGCTCTTGCGCTTTGCGCTGCTGCAGTATGTGCCACAAGCTTCCTCGCTTCTGTTATTAACTTTCTTTAGGCACAACGAGCTCTCGAGCTGTGGGAAACTGGCAAGCTCATCCAGACGATGGATGATGGGCATGGCAAGGACAAGAAGCTCCTCTTCTCTGGTGTCGATTGGACAAACACGACCACCAAGTATTACAACGGCATCGTCCAGAATCTCAAGTCGGTACAGAAGCAGCATCTCATTTTGGACATGGCAGCCCCCTACACCTCTCTTAAACGACGAGCCGCCGCCGATCTCCTCGAAGCAAGTAGCCGGAAGACGTACTCAAGTGCCCCTCAGGACCCGCGCCAGCATATCGATGTCTCCGACGACGAGCCCGAGGGTGATTATACAGTTGGAGGGAACTAACGATCAGGCAGCCTTGAATTAGTATACTGATTGTGCTATTGTACTGAATTCTATCCATATATACTGCTCTATCGTTGTTCTGTGAAATTGCTGTGAGCTTCTGGAGAATTCTAAATAATGTCTGGGGAATGGCTGAGGGTGTCTAAAATTGGACTTAGCCTCTGGGCATAGACATGCTCTGGGGATCTAAAAGATCTGTGGTATCCAGGGCTAGACCGCCCAGAAAAAAACGATTTTGCTGATGCGCGGCGGCGCGGCACATTCCGGCGCTACTGCGCGTCGCACGCCGGGTTCATTACTGGTAGGTGGACTCACTAGTACTCCTGCTGCCCTGACCTAATACCACGGGCAGGGTAGAGCCTCTGCTGTACACCTCCCTCGACATGGACGACGAATACAAAGCTGCTCGCCTCCTGCGGGCCCTAAAGCGGGCCGGCACCCGCGCTCCGCACTGCTTGGCGGCTGTGCGCCAGATCGTCATCTTCATGTCCGCGGCGCTGCCCGACCTGCTCCCCCTCCTGCCAAGCTGCGGCGGGGGCGTGACGCACCTGGCCATCCGGCCCCCGAACGGCTACCCCAGCATGTGGCGGCAGCTGCCCGGCCTGCTCGCGTGTCTGCCGCATCTACAGCGTCTCGTGGTCCCCTTCGTCGATGTTTTTCCGGACCCCTTTCCGCATTCGGACAACTCGGCGAACTTCCAGCCGGCGCTGCCGCACGTGACGCACCTCGCGCTGCTCGACGCCGGCACGTTTGAGGCCCAGGCCGATCTGCAGCGCATGCTGGCGTTCTTCCGCGCGCTCCCGGCGCTGACGCATCTTGCGCTGATGATCCACGGGAGCAACCGCCGCACGCCGGAGGACATGCTCGGTGTCTTCGCCGCGCTGCTCGACCGCCGGGAGTTGCCGGGGCTCCGCGTGCTGGCCTGCCTCGGCCCCGGCACTTACGAGACAGCCGTGATGGCGAGGCGACTGGAGCTTGCGGACCCTGGGCCGTATCTGCCGGGTAAGGACACTGGCAGCCCTCTCCGCGACGCGCGCTTCGTGGTGGTCGACTACGGCTCGTGGCTTGACGGCGCAGACCTCCCCGGCCTGCGGACATATTGGGACATGGCCGACACGTTCGTTGCGAAGAAAGTAACGGGCCAGATTGCATGTGAGCTTGGTTTTAGCAGCATTTGGGTCTTCGAATAATTCATTAGCATCGGTGGTGTTGGTGCACCCATCTTCCACCGGCGGAGAATACTGAACGAATGCTAGGGGAGTTGCTGCGGGGAAGTTTCCCCACATTCATATGGAGTCGACCTATCATGAATATTAAGATCGGAATATACTATAAAAAAACTATCTGGAATCAACATTTTTTTTGTTATGTATTATAACCCCAAATGGCAAATACTGGTGACTGGCTGGTAAAGCACCCCAATTCCCTGGAATGGAAGGCAAGCCTAGGTAGTATTTACTTCCTTGTCACCTTGTGTCCATTACTCCCTCCTAATACCGCTAACAGAGTTATATTGTGTGGTCCCATGCCAATTGGGAGCAAGTCAGAGGACTTGTGAAAAATCTTTTGAAGAATTGACGAACCCTTGAGTGTGTTATATCTTTGAGTGGAGACTTGGATATGCCAGAATCCAACCTTTTAGTTTCCTTTTATCACTGGGAACAAATCAAACAGAAAGGATTCAACAAACATTTATACAGGTTCTTATCTTTGGATCCTTCCCTGCCAGGACTCTGATTCCAGGCCTTCCAGGGTTGCCCTTAAACAAATTATCATTTATGATTATATTATACTGATTATTATTTTATTATTTCTTTTTCATATTATTATTGTTATTATCATAGTTATGTCACAGAATGTGGTAGGAGCTAACTATATATTTGTGTAGTCATGATATAATTATTATGTTATTATAGCTGCATAATAATAAATTGTTCCAGCCCACTAGTAGTATTTCTGAGGTTCACAGCCCTAAAATAGCTTATACTAGACAACAATAAGCATTGACATGGTAACTAATACCATCTTTATTTCATAGATGGTCCTATAAGAATCATCACTGAAACTGGAACAAGCTGTGGATAATATTATATTTACTTGCATGTGAAGAACAAGTAAATTTCTGATGATAAAAGATGGTAATTAACCAATAGATGTACAATACATGGATCAGCCATTATTTACAACTGCCAAATTGGACTTGAATTGGACAATCCAAAATTAAATAGGATAAAGGATATAAAACTATACATTGGATATTCCCACGTGTGCGTTCCTCCTACTGGGGCGCATGTTCCCCGTCGTCACGTGCTGCGTGCTGTGTGCTGCGGGCCCGCGATGGCCCAACGCCAGCGCTGGAGCGGACGGGCCGGGTCTTATCCGTGACAGGATCATTTCCGTTATATAGAATGCTGGTGCTAGCCAGCGGGAAATTTTGATGGATTTTTAACAAGTTTTGATGGAAATTTAGCAATTTACACATTACTCAATTGCTGGTGTTCAGTTCAGAGGGTCAAATTACATATTACATGAACTTATGGTTATGGTCATAATACTATAGTAAGATTTGACAAGTGTAAATAGTTGGAGCCTTGAGGAGATCTCACCAGTTGTAAGGGCAACCCCGGAGGGTCTGACAAGAACCTAGCAGGGGAGGATCCAAAGTGTGAATAAGAGCTACAGGAAATACATGGAGGGATCGACCTAGCAGGGGAGGATCCAAAGAGAAGAAACTCTAAGGTAGGGTGCTGTGAGTAATGCAAAAAACATTACTCACACCGGTTTCGGAAACCGGTTTCGAAACACCCCCCGTTTCGAAACAGTTTTGAAACCGGCCGGCCGGGGGGGTCCGCTGACAGTCGGCGGCTCGGGACAGCGCCGGGTATCACAATCCCGAGGCACACTATGCGCCAAGCCCAACTGGAGCAGCAGTGGAGCCCCACTGCCGTGAACACCCATCTGCCCGGCCTTCCGCCAGTAAGTGCAGGTGATATTGGGAGGGCATCAAGCCCTGACAGCCGGGCCCGGGCTTGCCGGAGAATCACGTGTCGGTTTCGAAACCGGGTCGGCCGGCCACGGCATTCAAAACTAACACGTGTTTCGAAACCGGTTTCAAAACCGTTTCGAAACCACAGTTACTCACAGCACCCTACTCTAAGGGTCTGCCTGCTAGGGCGCCAACTATATACTGGTCGTCCGTAACTGCCAACATAGAGTGCAGAAGGCCTGAGCGGCGTCGCGGGCTCTGTCCCAAGGTGATCATTGGGAGGGCCTTGATGGATCGGTGATTGTGTGGGCAAAGGAGGTCGTGCACGATGGTCGGGGTGGGTCGGAGCATCTGAGGGGGCGCTAGTTGGATGCACCTCGGTATTTTTTGTCTGGACTTGGATCCGACCTGTCGAAGAGGATTTTTTTTTTGTCCGGACTGTGGCAAATTTTTGTCCGGATTTCGGTATCCAACCTCTTGGGGCATATTCACGGGTCCTACCGTGGATCATCACGTGTACATCATATAAGCAGACGCGTCACGCATTTAATCTCTCTTCTTCCTCTCCTCTCTGAACCGCACGCATGTTGTCTCCCCAGCCGATGTCGCTGCTGTCCACCCCGGATGCGGAGCTGGTTGCAACCCTTGCTGCGCTGGACGAGGGTGCGCTGGCGGCGCAGTTCCCTGCGGTGCTGACGATGCTCGCGCGGGAAACGGCGTTTCGGCCGACACCGGCTGTCCGGAAACTGTCGCCCGAGACGCAAGAGGCTGTGGAGGAGCTGTACATCGCGCGCATCGGCGCTTCCCGGCCCTCGCTCGCCGCGCCGCTCCTCGCCGCCGTCGCCCACGCGCTCGGGCCGGCGACCGACCCGTCCGCGGCCCGGAGGACGCGTGCGCTCTTCGGCTGGCGCGCGATCGTGTCCTCGCTCCCGCCGGAGCACCTCGCCGCGCTCGTCCCCGCGCTGACGCGCCTCCGGGAAGACCCGACCGACGCGGAGCGCGCCGCCCGCCTGCGCGACCTCGCGTTCGGCCCGCTGCTCTTCCTGCAGCGCCTCGACTCGGAGACCGCGTGGGCACCGGAGCACAGGTTCGACTGGGCCGCGGTCCGCAGCCTCCAGCTCCTCCCCGGGAACGGCACCGGCCCGGCGGTGATGCGCACGCTGGCCCCGCAGGTGCTGGCGTGGACGCGCGAGCCGCGGCTGCCCGTCGCGGAGTGGTGTGTGCGCGAGCTGCGCCGCTTCCCGCACGCCGCGGCCGACGCGGTGGCCGCCGCGCTCCGGGCCGCCGCCCCAACCGGGCCGATGGACATGGACATGGAGGCGCACGCGTGGGTGTGCCGCCTCCTGGCGTTCCTTGCGGACGACGCGTTTGCCGCGCCCGCGGTGCACCGAGCGCGTGACGAAATCGAGCGCATCGTGCAGCGCCCTATGGTCGATGAGCTCCAGGGCAATCTTGTGGCGCTGGCGTTGCGGTGTTTGGAGAGGATGGATGATTGGGCTGAACGCGGGAAGATAGTGCCGTTGCGCGCCACAGTGTAGAGTCTGTGCTAGGTTTGTTGTTGAACACGGTGGAGAGCAAACTATTCGTGACTTGGTTTTGACCAGCATCGGTCCGGCGGCCGGCGCCAAATACCTAAATAGGCTGACAGTGCTGCTGTTGTTATGGAGACCCGTAGCCTGTTAAATACTGTTCCATTATGGGACATCAATGCTCATGCAACCCCCACGCCCCGCGCTCGCCCTGCTTCCGTTAGAGCTCTGGGATATCGTGATAACGTTCCTGGGTAATCCACTGGTGCTGGCACACGTGTCACGGGCGCTGAACGAGCGCTGCGTGCGGGCCACCGTCGAGCGTGAAGCGGGCGGCACACGGCGCTTTGGGTGGGCCAACGCCCGCATGGGCTTCTTCTACTCGCGGGAAGTGCTGCGTGCCGTTGCGCATTACGTCCCGCTCGAGGCCCTGCCCCTCACCGACGTGTCTGTGGAATTCGAAATTGGCAATGGCGTGGGCGGCCCGGGGATCGCCGAGCAGCTGCTAGAGCTGTACCACATCGTGGCCCATGCGCCGAAGCTGCAGCGGCTGACCGTCTCCCTCTTTAACGTAGCTGTCCACTGGGAGCATTTAGTCGCCAACCGCGCGATGAAGACGCTGTGCGCCGTCCTGGCCGTCGCCGCGGCGCGCGCGCCGGGCCCCGTGATCGTCGGCGTCCGGCGGCAGTGGCCCTTTTGGGGCGAGGACGCGGTGCCGTTCACGTGCATGCCGGCCGACATCGCCGAGTGGGAGCTGGACACGCTGGGGACCAGCCGCTTCAACCCGCCGGCTCCGGCTCCGGCCGCCGGCCCGGGCCCACTGGCCCGGCTCCGGCTGCGTCGTGCCCAGCCTCCCCCGCCCGGTGAGGGCCAACGGACGACGCTCACGCGGTGCCACGACGGCAGCGTCGCGCGGGTGCTCACCGTGAAGCCCGTCCGCCATGTGTGCTGGGCGGCCGTCGATGCCGGAGATCACCGGTGCAGCCTGCTCACGCTGCACGAGCCGCCCGTACAGCGCATGGGGCTGACGGCCCCAGGGGAAAGCACCCAGCGCCTATTCGGGATGCCGCTCCACGAGCTTCTTCAAAAGCACAACCACCTCCTCAGCTCCATCGCCCGCCACTACGATGAGTAGGCCGTAGACATCATGATGCCGGCCTGAGTGTAGTAGACTAGTAGTATCCATTTTGGCATTGAAGTTGTTGCGTCTAGGTCGCGGACGGCGGGAGCCGCAGAGCTTCGACTAAGTAGGAATCGTCAGAACCGCGTCATGCCCTGAAAGAAGCGCTCCGGCGGCACGCCCTCCGCGCGGGTATTACCCAACGCGATCACGCCATCACTGCCTATTTCTTCGCCGTGACGGGGGGCGTCACGGCCAGAGGGCTCTTGCCTTCGTACCACGACCACCAGCAGCCCGCCCGCCTGCTCGCTCCGCACAGAGACGCCTTTTTGCGCTCTCGCTCGCGGGCCGTCGCTCCGGCCCGCTCCAGGTGGCCCGCCATTCATGGACTTGGAAGCGGCCGGCCGTCCACCCCTTTGCCCGCCCCCGCGCTGCAGCTGCCCGCGCGACCGCGCCCGCCCGCTGCTCCCACAAAGTCTGCCCGCCCCGAGCTGCGGGCCGGTGACGGTGTCGGGCCCGCCGGCGACGGACGTGTCCCGGCAGGGCCCGACGCGTACTGCGGCCCGGCGTCGTTGGCGCTGACGTGCCCGGCGATGTCGCGCTGCGCAACGCCCCTCTTCGCGCCGTGGCGGCCACGCGCGGTACGGTGGGTTGGAGGGCTGGGCGGGGGACGTTCGACCTGCAGGACGTCTTGTGCCAGGGGCTTCTCTACCGTTTGGGTGTTTGTGTCTGCGGTGGAAATTTTTGGGCTTCTTTGCGTCGCTTCGGCCTCGCTGTGATGGGCCGGGCGCGAGTTGGGGAGTGGTGCGTATGCTTATCTTGGTTGATATCCTCCTCTGATGTTTTCTTCTCCAGGCCAGGGCTTCAACAACGCTCTTTTGAAGCGGAAGACTGGGAATAGTACTTAGATGGTATGAGCGGCATTTATCCATGAGTTAACAAACTGCGAATGATGTCGTCTGAACGTGTGTTGGAACCAAGTTGGAACGCACGGCGGCAGATGAGCGTAAAAAGAAGGAGAGGATGAAAACTGACAGTGATGGCTGTGATTTGTGTGATTGGCCCGATCATCGGTCACTTTGATCACTGTCACCTTTTTTTCATGAACGACGACCATGGCAAGTGGAAGACGCTCCGCAGTTGGCGGCCGTCCGTGCAGCAGACTCTGTCCGTGTTCGACGCACCAACAACAACATGGACCGGCCATCGGTCTCCGGCCCAAGGGCAAAACTTGGAAATCAGGCGTTTGGCTACCCGGTCGGCCTTATCGCTGCCCAAACTTGCCCTTCGCTTCTCGTCTTCTCTACAACTCGCTTCCATCCGACCGTCAGGCTTCCACGCAACCTCACTTTCTCTTAGTACGGTACGGTCCGGGGAAGACGCCGGACTAGCCGTGACGCTAATTGGCGCCATTCAAGTTGACTCGGTTTGGACTCGGTGGTCACGGGCGGTCTCAACCAGTATCGGCGCAGACTCGGTCGAATAACTCGATCAACACGCTGTAGCCGAACCGGCGCCAAATACCTAACTGGGCTGGCAGCGACGGCTGCTGCTGCTATGGAGACCCGTGGAAGCTACCTGTTTAAATACTGTTCCTGCGCGACATCGTTCTCCGCATGCAGCCCCCACAGCTCGCACTCGACCTGCTTCCCTTGGAGCTCTGGCATATTGTGATATCATTCCTGGCCGACCCGTTGGTGCTGGCGCACGTTTCAGCAGGGCTGAACGAGGCGTGCGTCCGGGCCACCGCCGAGCGCGCACTGGCCAGTGAAGGGGAATACTATGGCCGCCGGCAATGGACCGACGTGTGCAGGGGCAGATTCGGCGACCTACCGGACGTGCTGCGCGCCGTCGCGCATTATTTCCCCCCTCGAGGCCCTGCCCCTCACCGACATATGGGTGGAATTCAACATCAACATCGAGCCCAGAATCGGCGAGCAGCTGGAACAGCTGTACCACATTGTCAACCACGCGCCGCGACTGCAGCGGCTGACCGTCAGGTTATGGCATGTCGAAGTGTTTGCCTACTGGAAGTATTTTGTCGCCTACCGCACCATGAAGAACCTGTGCGCCATCGTTGCAGTCGCGGCGGCCCGCGCGCCGGGCCCCGTGATCGTCGGCGTCCGCCAGAATTGGCCCTTTTGGCCACGCGAGCGGGCAGTGCCATTCACGTGCATGCCGGCCGACATCGCGGACTGGGAGCTGGACACACTGGAGACCACTGGCAGCCGGGGCCGCACCCCGAGCCAATTCAACCCACCGACCGGAAGCTCAGATACGAGTCACGACTCCGAGTCTGAGTCGGAGCCTCAGGAGCCTGAGTCAGAATACGAACCACCCGAGCGTACAACACTTACGCGGTGCCACGACGGCACGATTATGCGGGTACTCAATGTGCAAGCTGTACACCATGTTTGCTGGGCACGCGTTGACGCCGAAGAACACCGCTGCAGCCTGCTCACGCTGCATGAGCAACGCATAGACCGCAAGGACCTGACGCTGCCGGGGGAAAGCACGCAGCGCCTATTCGGGATGCCGCTCCACGAGGTCCTTCGACAGCACAACCACCTCCTCCATGTGTTCGTTCGCCACTACTAATATGACAGCTTGTATGCAGACATGCCTCAGGCTGAGTGAAGTTGTAGCTTACATGTTTGTTCCAAAACAGGAAATTTGTGTGCAAAAATCAATTTTTTCCTACACTAACTTGTTGAAATGACGGACTCACCGGCAAACTCGGAGTCAGTCCGAGCACAGCCACGCCGACTCATCGCGCACGGGTGATTAGTTTGTATTTTTGTATTTCAACTACATAGTATAAATACTTGAGTGTAATAGCTACAAGGACATTGAATTTCTTTCAACATAACTTTCACCTTGAAAATTTTATGCATCAAGTGGCATACTAGATCTGTAAATTGCAGATCTAGTATGCAAAGCCCGGGCCTGGAATTTCCGCCTGTATCCGTGATTCGGATCTTGAACCCCCCTTGATGCCCCAGATACTTGCGGTGATAAGGGTGCTCCTGGCAGCCCTCCCGGCGACGCTGTGCGCCGTCTGGCTCCACACCGAGGGTTCCGAGGGCGGCGCGGCCGAGGAATACGATGGCCGCAGGTGGACGGCCGCGCGTCCTGCAGGCACAGCGGGTGGCGGTGGTCATCTGGGGTCCCGCGCTTCCGTCTTGCGTGGCCTGCGAGCGCCGGATTCGGAAGCCTGGTCGGAAGGAATATGATCAGATGAGCGCTGTTGAAGGGAGCTGATAGTAAAAGGGTTGTTCCACAGGGAATACCTATCTCGCTTGTATGCACTGGCACAGCTCTGGAGATTGTTCACGTAAACAAGAGGATCGACAGTCCATGGGTATAACTACACGCAAGCAAAATGTCTGGGCCCTCAACATCAAGCTACCAAGCCGAAGAACACCACACCGACCAGGAGCGTCAGCCCCACCTCCACCTCCAGGCCCTTGCGCGCCGGCACGGCAGCGTTCGTGCTCGGCTGCGAGACGACGCTGACACTGGCGCTCCCGCTGACACTCGCTTTGGAGGACACCGCGGACGAGAGCGCGGTGAGCGGGTATGCGTAGCTGAACGAGCCCGTCGGGAACGACACCGGGATCCCGCCGGGTAGAGACGCACGTGCGGCGCTGCCGGTGCTGGTAATGCGGCCCGCACTGGCGCTTGCGACCGGCTTGCTCACTGACACGGTGCCAGACGACGGGTCAGGCCGGAAGCTGATCGAGAGCCCCGGGCCGTGGTGCGAGCTCGAGGCCGCGCCAGCCGCCGGCGTAGTTTTGGAGGGCGGCGTCCCCGTGGCGGTGGTGACAGTCGCGCCGGCGGTTGCGTTCTGGCCGATACCAATGGCGATGGGCGCGGACTTGGTGAGGACGGTGTACGGGGCCGCCATGCTGCTCAGGCCGAGCATGTACCCCGCGCTGGCCGGCGATCAACACCGATGATAAGTTCACAAGAGGAGAAGCGGCGCACGCAGGGAGGACGTCCGGCACGAGGAACGACGCGGACTGGGCCTGCGGGTCGACCGCGTTCGCGAGCGCGAGGTAGCCGCTCTGGCGCCACGTCAGCTGACTTGCAAGGAGGAAAGGAACGGAGACGCACGAAGGTGGGCGCCGGGCCGGTGCTCCAGAGGACGACGGTGAGGTCGTCGCTGCGCAGACGTCATCGGCTTGTCAAGGAGGTTAACATGGGACGCACGTATCCCGCCCGTCCGCGGCCCACGTCACCGCCACGACCTGCCCGGGCATCAACGACGGCGGGGCCTTGAGCCCGGACAGCGCGCGCACCGGCGTGGACACGAGGAGCAGGCAGAGGGCAGCGAGGAGCATCTATTCCGCTAACTTTTTCGGGGGAGGGGAGCAGGCGAGGGTGGACGTGGCACCGTCACGCCGTTCGATATTTAAGCTCTTCCCCCAAGGCTTTTTACGTGTCCGACGAGGCTAGCGCGGCTGGACGCGAAGAAGCGGGCCTCGAAGGCTCCCTGGAAGCCTGACGCGCGGATGGAAGCGAGCTGCAGAAGCGAAAGGCAGAGGATGGGCCGACCGGGGAGCGTCAAACGCCGGATTTTCAAGTTTTGCCTTTGGGAAGTTTCGCCACGCCCGGACGGTCCATGTTGTCGGTGTCGGTCGTGCGTCGGACACGGACAGAGCCTGCAGTGCTACACGGACGCCCGACAACGGCGGAGCGCCTTCCGCGCGCCATGGCCGTCGTTCGTGAAAAAAAAATGAGTCACTACAGTGATCGATGATCGGACCAATCACACGATACCATCACAGCGTCATCCGCTCCTCTTGCGCTCATCTTACGCGCCGTGCATCAGGAAAATGACAACTTAAGCTTTTTGTACTTTTTGAGCTTTTCAAAGTCATAAAAGCCAAAAAGAGCTGCAAAGTTCAAAAGCTCTTTTGCACCTTTTAAAAGTTATGTGTAAGGGCAACCTCGCGAGGCTCGAAATCAGAGTCCTGAGCAGAGGGGGAATCCTTAGTGAACTACTACAACAGGAAGGGACGCTACAGACTCACCTGAGCAGAGGGGGAATCCTTAGAGAACAAGCCAAGGAGCCCTCTGCTCAGGTGCACTACTATATACTAGTGACCGGAGTAATGATAGAGTGACTGCATAGCGACGAACGACGCATGGGAGAAGTCAGGTGTCGCTAATGGACCCTAGGTGAGTGTCGAGTAGCCCTCGAAGCTCCGGAGAGGCAGGTTTGGGACCGTGATGCCAAGGGAGGAGCCCAGGCATCCTTAGAAGGCCTAAGAAGGGCTTCGGGAGGTCCAGGCTGCCTCTGAGCGTCTCCGCTTGTGACCGTGACCGTGACAACCGGAATCGGAACCGGAATCGGAATCGACTCCGGGTGTGTGACCGTGACGTGACGGCCGGAAACGGAGAGGGAAGGCGTGGAGCGGAAAGGGAAGGAGTCTGGTCTAGCCCAAGGGCCGGGGAGTGTCGGAGAGGACCAATGGGAATGGCGGCCAGCCATGACCACTGGAGGGTAGCGACAGGAGGGTCACTCGGAGACGTCCCCGGACGTCTCCAGAGAGGTGGGTGTGAGGGCGTGCAGCCTGGGGCGCTGCGGTAGGCACGAGCCTTAACGGCAGTAGGCCTCACCCAAAGGGAGACCCGATGACGGGGGGCCGTGGTAGCGGAGTGGGAAGCGGAGCCATGGCGAGGCTCAGCCATCTGAACGTAAGCCCGAACGCTGACATAGGTTGGAGACACCTAAGAGGTCCAGCAGGTAGAGATCGTAGGGAGACCTTGATAAGTGACAGCCCAGAGAGGCTGGCAGGCCATAGGCTCAAGGTCTAGAGGGAAGTGGTGCATCCACATCGGGAGAGGTCTCCGATGGCATTAGTGATCCCTGATGGTGACTCCGGAGAGGCTCCCGGAAAGGGGTGGCCAGGGAAGTCGAAGACTAGGGATTACTGGATGTGGGATGTGGTGCGGGCAGTGGAGGGAGAGCGTCAGGGTGTGGAGACACGGAAACACGAGCGGAGACGTGGAGACGCGAGCGGAGACGCGGCGCTTGATGGGATCAAGTGACGGCATCAGGGTTTCCCCTGACATTATGTTCCTTTCTTTTTTAAGCTAATAAAGCTAATAAAGCTTCTGTAAGTTCACTCCCAAGTTCTAGCCAAGTTGCTTTCAAGTTCCCTTAGAAGAGATTAAATGTGTCTGCATAAATCATAATTAGCATAGGGAAAACAAAACACTACTTGTAAGCTACTCAAAATAGTCCGAAACAGCATCGTAGTCTACCACATCGAAGTCACTATCATCATCAGAAGAAACCTCGATTGGAACAGCAGCGGCTGCATCATTGCGCGTCGTAGCAGCCTTCTGCGCGGCTTGCATAATACGGTACCAATGATGCATCTTGAGCTTCTTGATAAGCTGCGCAATCTTCGCATAAGGACGGACAGGCTTGTTGATGCCGTTGACAAGCTGGTGCCCACTCCCGTCCCGTAGTTCGTCTTCGAGAAGTTGCCTGGGCCACCAGCAACAGGGACATATGCCCCAGATGAGTGGAGACTGAAAGCACGTTTAAGCTAGAAAGGGTTAGTCAGGGTTACCTGTCTAGATAGGAACATACTGCCTGAATGCACATCGTCAGTGCTCCGATTGGATAGGTTGAGGCATCGTCGGCATTGAAGGCGACAGGCCCCAAGGTGTTGTCGATGGTTGTCGCCGAAATATGGGCAGCAAAGGTATACGAGACGACGAAGCTTTGAAAGATACCCTGAAAATGTATTAGTAGCTTATCTACTCCAACGAAACACCTACTTGTGGGAGGCCCTCGGGCTCCGGACCAAATCCACGATAGTAGAACACTCGGTCCTTATCGGACCCACTGGTGTTGCGCTTGACGGACTCAATCTTGTCCTCGATAGTTTTGTAGTCGCTCAGCATCAATCCGACTGCCTTGATAGCAGTCGCACCAATGCGATGACGCCACGCGTCAATTTTGTCCTCAGTCTCGTGTCGTTAGTATGAATTTAAAAGAAGATGATGAGCGCACCAGCTTGACGATGACGACCGCGAGGTCAGTCTCCAGCCCGACCTGCAGCTCAGGGAACATGCTGTTCCAAGACGCCACAATGTCACCATCTTCGAAGGTGGCCCATGCTTCGTCTTCCCCCAGCCGTGTCAGCATATGTGGAGCGAATATTTTGGTAAAGTGGCGACGGAACTCGAGCAGCAGGTTGTTGTGGGTAATGGAACCCTTCTTGAGCTTGGTCGTGATTTTGGAGTCATCCTTGGGGGCCACATACGTCGGTTCAGTCGTGGCGACAATGCCCGCAAGTGCAGGCATCTGGGTGGAGTTAGTATATGACACAAAGAATAGATGGTATACCTTAGCGATAGCGGCCTTGGCCTTGCCCGGGGAGCGAATTGACGAGACGATCCGGCGCTATCATCACTACCGCGAGGCCTTCCGAGTTGTACGTCTGCAAGGATTTTCGCTCCCTCGGCAGCATGCACTGAAGCATTATATTGCTCGCATCATGGACTTTGGTGTTCCAAATGGACTTTGCAGCTCGATTACGGAGTCGAAGCATATCCGGGCCGTAAAGCGACCATACCGCCGCTCTAATCGAAATAAACCCCTTGGTCAAATGCTCCTCTCGAACCAACGACTTGACAAACTTGCTGCTGCACGGGCTGATTTCACTGCCCGTGGCATGCTATCTGGGTCACTATTTGCATCACCGCTGGCGCCTGTAGAGGAGGAACCTCAACCAGTAGAGACCACTATTGATGATGATGTGGAAGAAGGGGATGTTCCGGGCCCTACCTGCCTAGGGGAGGTAACTCTTGCAAAGAGCTGTGGTACTGTCTTCCTCCTATCTTTTACTACCATGTTTAATAAAGCCTTTCCAGTTCGAAAGGTGCCCCGCGACGTGCACCAGTTGGCAAGTTATGTACACCAACCACGTCTTCACGAACTTATTCGACGCTTTCTCTTCGAGCAGCTCAATCCTGAGCGAGCCGCAACTGAGGACATTATCCCTCTTGACGACTGTCCAGACTTCGCCGAACGTGTCTATATCTACACCCCCGCCCAGGCAGTGTTCTATGCTCCTAGCGACATCTGCGGGATTGGTGGGATGCGTCATGAACGAATTCGAGCCACCAAGTCATGGTACCGTGGTCCACCTCGATACGACTGTGCTCTCATCGAGCATGACACCGAAGCTCAGGGCTTCCGTGGCCTTCATGCTGTCCGTGTTCGACTTTTGATGAAGTTCACATTCCGCGGTATTCAATATCCCTGCGCCTTGGTTCATTGGTTCTCCGCTCATGGCGACGCCCCTTGTCTGGATACTGGGATGTGGATTGTGAAGCCAGACTGGGTTCGGGGTTCTGCCCGTACACAACCCCTGCTAGCAGTTGTCCATCTTGATGCAATCTTACGGGGAGTACATTTGATTGGTGTGGCTGGGAAGGACTTTCTACCTCCTGATGACAAAGACCTGAGCTTTTCAGACTCTTTAGATGCATTTGAAGCATTTTACGTAAACAAGTATGCAGACTACCATGCACATGAAATATTATTTTAATTTTTTTTTTCAAAAATATTTATTTTCAGATATTCTATTATTTTCAAGAATATCTGAAGCTAAAAAAGTTTCAAAGCTGTGAAAGGAAAAAAGCTTGAAAGTATCACAAGTCATTCAAGCTGTCCATAAGGTTGGCACAAGTTCACAAAAAAGCTAAAACTGAATAAAGGACTACCCAAGCTACCAAAAAAGCACTTGTCATTTTCCTGATGTGTGCTCAAAGTCACGTTCAGACATACGCGCCTAGGCTTGTGCTCAACGACGTCGTCCGGGTGTGTTTATTTTCACGCATTCATATGTCAATGGTGGTTGAACTTGAGCCACGCACTCTTCCTTAACAACCCAGCCACTCACACTGGAGTTTCTGTCCAAAGATGGGCCCCAAAATGATGAGCAAAAAAGATGTATATTTTAATGACTTGGAAAGATAACAAAATAAAACTTTAGAAAAGTAGACTTGATTTGTGGCCAGACACTTTTCAAATGTATTACAGGGAGAGGTGGATGGATTGAAATTGGGGCACATATTAAGTTATCAGGTTAGACTCAACTCAAAGCCATTATCGGCGGACACTTTTGTGGCTACAATTTGTAGCAAATATGCCACCACAAGATATAAGATGATATATATATATATATATAATCAGGGACAGTACCAAAGTGTATACTAATGAAAATAATTACAATTGCAAAACATATTTACTCTTATATTAAGCGGATGTTGTGTGAATATATGTGCATGTTTGGCATTGGCTTTCAAGTTAACAATTGATTTGCTCCACACTTCCATTTTTGGGGTCACTGCTGTTGAAGTCCTAAATTGGGAAGAAAAGGTAAAATGTGACCAATTCTAATTGGGATGCAAAGCTGTAAGTCATGTCCTGTACCCAGTACTGTGAACAAGTTGTTCTTAAGGTTATTTACTAGTAAATATTCTCAAATTGTGTACAAATTGAGAAATGATTACACAAATGTTAGTGACTTGCGTTGCACTCAACATATACTAGCAAGAGATAAGTATTCAAGAAGGCCATTGGGCATCTGTGTGCCTATAGTTAGTGGCAATGTGCTTAATTTAGAAATTCATGTTATTCAAGGAACATTCAAGTTCAAAGCTGAGGCGTAGCCACCGGCCCTGTCTAGTTGTAACTATGTAAATGAAAGACATGCATATATTGAATAAGCCTCCAACTATAGATAATACCTAAGATTTAAGCAGATACAGCATTTAAATAGCTTATTAATGGCTTTTTATGACTATATATAGGGCCTTAGGGTCATCTGAAGTAGCACTTGGTCCAGTTATGTTCCAGAAATTCTGAGTGGGGGTATATAATAATTTTCCCCATCTGAGAAATCAAAAGGCTACATGGTGCAATTTGAAGTGTAGAAGAGATTGTTGGGGAACACCAAATGATTTTGTTCCTTGTAGGCAGGGGACCAACAATCCATCCATCATCCTGTAAGACATAGGATTGCAAGGGATATCTATTAAAATCCCAGACTCTGATGGTCTTATCATCAGATCCAGATACAACTCTTGTGCCGTCAGGAGAGAAGGCCACTGACTGCACCCAATCAGAATGCCCTGTGAGTATTTGCTTTGCTACTCCAGTAGTTGCATCCCAGACTCTTACAGTGTTATCAGAAGATCCAGACACAATTCTTGTGCCATCATGAGAGAAGGCTACTGACTGCACAGAATCAGAATGCCCTGTGAGTATTGACTTTGCTGCTCCAGTAGTTACATCCCAGATTCTTACAGTCTCATCATCAGATCCAGACACAATTCTTGTGCCATCAGAAGAGAAGGCCACTGACTGCACCTGACCAGAATGCCCTGTGAGTATTTGCTTTGCTGCTCCAGTAGCTGTATCCCAGATTCTTACGGTCTCATCAGAAGATCCAGACACAATTCTTGTGCCATCAGGAGAGAAGGCCACTGAGTGCACCCCACCAGAATGCCCTGTGAATATTTGCTTTGCTGCTCCAGTAGCTGCATCCCAGATTCTTATCGTCTTATCATCAGATCCAGACACAATTCTTGTGCCATCTGGAGAGAAATTTACTGTTATAACTGCTCCAGAGTGGTCTTTCATTTCAGGTAAAAGTTGTCTGCTCCTCATCCCTTCCACCATTACTATCTCATATAAGTGTGGAAAGTGAACCTTCCATTTTTTGACCTGTGATCTTCCACACTCAATTGAAAGACTTGTCAAATATAGGTCTTTGATAGACAATTCTGGTCCACTCTGGTAATACATCCAGAGCCTTTGAGCACTATTCAAGTGAAGGTTTATATCCTGCTCTGTTATTATGTATGATTTGCAATCAGTATATATCATACTAAAATAATTTTGTCATACTTTATTAACCCAGCTATTTGCCTGAACTAATGCTCTGGAACAATCTCCCCTTGGTATCAACATTGCTAAAATATAATTGTCAATTCTGTAAACTCTGCCAAATATCTAAGAACATCTTGGTTCTCGGGAGTTTGCTCATATCTGACCAGGTCTAAACATGCTGCCCAGTGTTCACAGGCATATTTTACCTCCAAATCCATCACTTTATCTTGATTCAACAATTGGACTTCCTGGAGCATATTAAATCTTAGGTTTTTCTGCATAAGGTCCAATAGATCACATGCTTTGTTTGTAAAGTAGTGTTTTGCTCCATTTGAATAGTCTTTGTCACTTAACATAAACTCATCAAAAGACTTGTGAAATGTGTAAACACAGTGATCAAGGGCAGAAACATATAGAACTGCATTAAGTGCCTCAATACCCGTCTTCACCCTATGTTGATCTATATCCTCTGTAGAGACAACCATTGGTGCCAGATTCTCTATTGTCTGTGGATGCCGGCCTGAGATGACTGCATAAAGAATATTCTTCCTAAGCTCCTTTACATCAGCCCCAACATTTGTTACGGCTTCAGTAATAATGTTTTGATAAAGCACATGGATCAAAAGCTCCTGATCTCCTTCAGGTGTAACTAGTTGATCAGACTTCTGCATTATTTGGAGACGTTTCCTTTTTAAGGCTTCTCACGAGTGTCACGGATAAATACCTGTACTCTACCTGCGGGTAATTTAGGCTTCAAAACCAATACCTGCATTTGCAGCATCCGTGGGAAACAGGTACCTGTACTCACGGATACGGGTACCTGCACGGGTTATCCACGGGTATTTTGAATAAAATATTAGGATACTGAGGTATATTGACAATATTAAGAGCTTATATAGAATATAGTATCAAGTACTATACTGATATGGACACTACAGGGCATAAGAAGACTGTAGTGACTGGAATATATAGAAGATAATGAAAATTAAGATCTTCCAGAGTCATACCTGTACTCTTGGCATCCATGGGAAACGGATACCTGTATCCGCGGATGTCAAACCTGCAGATGTTTTCCTGCAGGTACCTGTGCAAACATCCGCGGGTGTTGACACTCGTGCGGAGCTTTATTCCTTTTCTGCATAAGACTGAGTCCATAACTAGGTGGATTAAGATATCGAAGCACTGTGGCTGCATAGATGAATAAAGTGCCAGCTTGCTGTACAATATACTGCCAATCCTCCTGTGACAACTGAGGTTCCTTTTCCATCAGAAATTTTGCAATATCACTTTTTGCTTCTTCTGAATCAATCGTCTCAAGATGGAATATATTGTTTTTCAATTGTTCTGCTTGTTGTTTAATGTTTGGATCAGGGCGGCTTGCAGTAGAATCTTCAGATTTCGGATACTAGGGTCCATGTTCTCAATCAACTGCTGGATAACCTGTGTTCCTCTGTCAGCTTCAATGGGCTATAGATGTGCAACAGCTGTCGAGCAATAGTGGGAATGATATACTGAAATGTTCTTGTCTCTGTCTCAGAGTTATTTCGTGAGCAAAAGAAAGATGCTGCTAGTCTGTCTTCTGCCTCCAACTTCTGGCAAAGACTATAGGCAACAGTTGACTTTCCAGTACCAGCCATACATATCAGGAGAGCTGTCATTAACCCATTCCATAAGTCTTGCTAGAAGGTTCTGTCTTGTTCCATGAGTGCAGCCATGACGAGCCTCATTTTTTCCTTGGTCAGCATTATATATGGCTTTGGATGCAAAAGGAAGTCTTTCTGCCTGTTAATACTTAGTATTCAGGGTAGTTTCCCAAGTGATTATAGCTACCAGAGTATTCAATACCATCTTGTTCACTTCTTGTTCAATGGACACAATCATTTTATACTATCAAGTGAATATTAAAAGGAGTAACATGATGGTTATATGTCCTCAAATTACCTGATGGCTATTTAGCCCATCTGCTAGTTGTGATGCACAAGATTGTAGCTGTTCCTTGATTCTATTTGGCAGAAGCAACTTATTGAAGGCATTGGCTTGAAGATCTGCGATTTTCTGTGCTTCTGCAATTATTAGGCTGAAATTGTCTAAGAACAGGACAGAGAAATAAATGTCAGATAGTTATCACATACCAGGCCAATTCTTGACTACTTTCCATCACAATGGGATTGTACTTGTTTGCCTTCAAGATCTGCTCATTGACATCAATAAGCCCCTTCAGAAGTTTTGCCTGTAAATCTTTCAGTTCTTCCTCATTCTCCTGATGAGTCTAATACTAGTCAGTCAGATTATCCAAGCTTGTAGAAACTAGATAATACTATGAGTATCTCAAAGATCACTCCCAGGACTTCCACTGGAGTATTAAATGGTTGAGGAACCGTTGATGCCATTATATTGAGAATTCCAGACAGCCCTTTGCAGGTATCCAGAATCCTGTCAAGTTTCCCCTTTTGTGATTGACTCAGCTTAGTTACTGGCAGATTTTCAGCACTGTGGAGTCCTGTTGATGTCTCCCATGGCTTGATGGACACAACAAGTTTTCCAGCTGGGTGGCCCTCATGCTGCAAAGCCAAGGTAACCTCTGCATTTGCTCAGAACAGCCAAAGTACTACAGATTCATACCTTTTCCAAGTTGGGCTTGTTGAAGCAAATGCTGGACTGTAACCTCTGAAACACCAATCTTCTCATGCTTGTCAAGGTGAGGCACACGAAGCAGTGTAAAGGTGAGCATGGTACTGGTCGATGTTGTCTGACTGCAAATTGCTAATCAGCTGAAACCCCACATTATGTGCAAAACTACTTGCATGTTTGTTTCAAAGTTCCAGTTGAGCCTCTTGTCTGTCTTATGGGTCTTGCAGCCTGCTATTTCAGCACCCCTCACAGCAACTGCGACATAAAACCTCTTGTTGTTCCACCAATGGGTGGGCTTCCAAGCAAAATCAAGAGCCTTGTGGACTGAAGAGTGTCAGTAATTGATTTCATGGTTTTTTTTTAGCATTTACTCTGAAGGGTGTATGTTTGAGCAGTGGAGGCCATGGTGGTACTGGTCAAGGTGCGAAGGAGCAGGGAACGTCCGCACACTCACCGTGCCCCAAGCCATGCGGAACCCATGTTTCCTCCGCATGGCACTGTTCTTGACAGCGAATATGTTGCCCGTGGGAGAAACCCGGATATTCGCCCGTTTCGGGCCGAGAAGTCGACTGATCTGGGCAAGAACACGGCGCAACTGGTCGAAATGACCGGTTACGGCCCGGGGCGCCGTTGACCCAAGGAGCGGACGAAACCGGCGGTGTGTGAGGACGGCCAAGGTCCTGCTGGCGAGCGTCTGGGCATTAGAATGGGAGAGACGGAGGATAGGTAACGATTTTATTAAACGGATCATGTACACAAAGAGGGTCCAAACCGCACCGAGAAAGCAAAACACCCGTCGATACTAATCCCAGCTATACCCCGGCGGAAGCTCCTCTACAACCACTATACCGTGCTCTGGAACCCAGCACTAGCCGGCGGTCAACACTGACCACAAGAGGAGAAGTGGCGCACGTGGGGGAGGACGTCCGGTACGAGGACGGGGAAGGACGCGGCCTTGGCCTGCGGGCCGACCGCGTTCGCGAGCGTCAGCTGACTTGCAAGGAGGAAAGGAACGGAGACATACGAAGGTGGGCGCCAGGACGGTGCTCCAGAGGACGACGCTCAGGTCTTCGCTGCGCCAACCATCCATTCAGCACCCAGCGGGGGAAGGAAAAGATTGGGTGCACGCACGTATCCCGCCCATCCGCGGCCCACGTCACCGTCGTCATTCGCCCGGGCATCAACGACGGCGGGGCTTTGAGGGCGCAGCGGACGCCAGGAACAGCGAGGAGCATCTGCCGCTATGTATTTTTTGGGGGAGAGGCAAGCGAGGGCGGAGGGGATGCGACACAAGGTGTTTGAGCTCTTCGCCCCGAGACTTTTTATGTGTACTAACGACGAGCCTAGCGCGGTTGGACGCGAAGAAAGGGCTGCAGCGAGCCTGACGCGCGGATGGAAGCGAGGTGCGTCGCGGACCAGAAGCGAAGCATCCGCGCAGGTAACTTGAAGTTTGGGCTGAGGAAGGGCCGACCGGGGAGCGTCAAACGCCGGATTTTCAATTTTTTGCCTCTGGCAAGTTTCGCCAGGCCCGGACGGTCCATGTTGTCGTAGTGCGTCGGACACGGATAGAACGGCCCGTTACCAGCGGAGCGCCTTGAGCTCGCCGCCAGTTGGCAGGTGCTGGCCGTGGTCGTCGTTCGTGAAAAAAAAAATGACAATGATCGATGATCGGACCAATCACACGATGCCATCACTGAGCCTCTTCCTCCTCTTGCGCTCATCTTATGCGCCGTAATTCGGGGTGTGTTCATTTCACGCATTTGTATCTATGACAATCAATGCTGGTTGGGCCACAGGCTGTACTATACTTCTCCAACCCCGCGACTTCCGCCGAAGACTCAGGCTCCCGAAGAGCATTCTCGAAGTCCTGGACAAAAAACCATCAGCGGAGAACTTGAATATCAGCGAGGATAAGCACACCAAGCCTCGGAGGCGTCGAGATCGACAAGTCACAGACACCTTCGAGTCTTGAGAATGGCGAGACACGACAGTCGACAAAAGAACTGAAAGAAACACGCACCAATCCCCAACTCGCCACTACGAACCAGCGTAGCCGAAGCGACGCAACGAAGCCCAAAAATTACCACCGCAGATGCCAGTGGAGCTACCCAACGGCGCGCAGATGGAGCTACCCAACGGCGACAGGCCGACAGCCGTGCGCCACGCCACGCCGAGACGCCCAAATAGTAGTAAGCCACTAGACGTCCCCCGTCCCGCCCTTCCACCCACCGTCCCGCGCCTCGCCGCCACTGCGCGAAAAAGGGGCGTTGCGCAGCCCATTGCCGCCGGGCTCGTCAGCGCCGACGACGCCGGGCCGCCGTACGCGTCGGGCCCCGCCGGGACGCGTCAGCCACCGGCGGGCCCGACACCGCCGCCATACCCGAGAGCGTACGGACTGCTCGAGCTGGCGCGGTCGCGCGGGGCAGCTCGGAGGGGGGTGGGCAAAGGGGTGGTCGGCCGGCCGGTTGGGAAGGCCGGAGCTGGGCCCGCGAGGGAGAGCGCGAGGAAGGCGTCTCTGTGTGGGGCGGGCAGGCGGGCGGGCTGCTGGTGGTGGTGCGAAGGCAAGAGCCCTCTGGCCGTGACGTCCCCCGTCACGGCGAAGAAATACGACGTGATCGCGTTGGGTAATACCCGCGCGGAGGGCGTGCCGCCGGAGGGCTTCTTTCAGGGCATGACGCGGTTCTGACGAGGTCTACTTAAAAGACGCAGTCGAAGCTCCGCGGCTCCCGCCGTCCTAGACGCAACAGCTTGCAAATGGATCCGAGTCGCAATGAATTCTCGTGATTAAGTTAACCCAGAGGGAAACTTGCAGATGTGTTTCTACATAAAACCAAGACACGGCCGGGTGAGCGGACTACACGCTGCCCTGCCAAGCTGCAGCCTCACGGGGTACATGACCGCCGTCTCCCCAAACACACACGTCGAGACCGCCATCATGCGGCAGGGCCGCATCGACCCGGGGGTGCGGCCCAGCGCCGGGCCGGACGCCGGGTCCGCGCTCGGGTGGGCGCTCGCGCCGCGCGTGGAGAAGGGCTAGAGCACTCGACGACCGTGTGGAACGCGTTGTACTTCCCCAGCACACAGCGCATCGTCGCGCAGTGGGTCGTCGTCGCGAGCACGACGCCGTCGGCAGCGTCGTATACACACGGGGCCGCACAGGGCTGAGTAAGCAGGAGGCCGCGCAGACGGAGGAGCAGCACGTGGCCGAGGGGGCCGGCACCGGCGTCCCGGCCGAGATGCAGAGATCGGATCCGGAGGCATCGGATCCAGAGGCCGCGGCCGAGGTGCTAGACTACACCCGGTTGAAGGGCAAGTGCCAGTGGTACAACGAGCTCGGCTCGTGGATGCTGCTCTCGGCGTGGCCCCAAGGCTCACTCGTCGGCCTGTATAACTCGACAAAGGGCGATGCCTCTGCCGCGTACGACCTGCGCGGCCGCTTCGATGTGTCCGCGCCCGTTGCCGAGGGCATGGGCCTGTCGCTCGGGTGGGCCGTTGGGTGGAACAACGCCACGCACGGGGACTCGTACTCGGCGAGCACGTGGGTGGGCCAGCTCTTCCTCGGCCCGACGCCGGAGGATGATGATGTCATCACGACGCAGTGGCTGCTCGGCGTGAGCACGGCGCCGGAGAAGATCTGGGCCGCGACGATGCTCGGCGGAGACGTGTTTACCCGCGGCGCGCCCAAGGCTGCGCTGGCGGCGACGGTGCCCAGGGTCAGCGTGCTTGCACACCCTGGCATCGACAAGATTGTCGAGAAGGGCGAGGCGATCGCGAATATGTAAGTGTAATGCTACGACCAAATGATCTTATCTATTACCAATCCAATCTACATCCGAGTCTGGAACCTGCACAGAGACTCGGAGCCCCTTGGGAGTCCCGTACCGCTTCTCTTTCCGACCCAGAATAAGTAAGGAACTACTGTACTATTTTAATCAATTCGTCACCTACCTGCGTGACATGTGCGACGAACTTAAACTTTCGTCAGGCCTTCCCCATTAGGGAATTTCAGCGCCGGATCGGACGGAAAATTACCATATATGGACCAATTTGGGGCCAATTTCTGCCGGATATGCGTGACTGACGAAAAATTTTCGTTGGCTTGAGCCCTGTGTGACGCATGACTGACGAACTGATTAAAATACTACAGTACTGTAGTATTTTACTCAATTCGAATGCCAAAAATGGTGTGACATCTGATACGAAAATTGGAATTCGAATTATATAGCCTGTGTGACGCGTGACATACGAACTGAGTAAAATACTACAGTCTGTGTGGTCTGAATAAAAGAATCTTTGCTTCGGGTTTTACATTCAATGGATGGTACATCATACTGCTGCAATCGTGTTTGTGCCACTTACTTATCCAAAAAGAAACGCAAAATTGTTACTTGGCATACTTCTCGCCTCTCGCGACGATGTCGCTGACGCTCGGATGCGCCGCACCGAAGCCGGCGGCTTTGACCCGCGCCACGGTTGCCCCATCCGGCTGCGTCCGGCGAAAGACGTCCGAGCCCAAATTGGTGGACGCCCACACGCGCGTTGCGGCGGTGCTGACCGTGAGGAGCCACTGCGTCGTGATGATGTCCCACGCCGGGTCCTGGCCGAGGAAGACCTGCCCCGCCCACGTGCTCGCGGAGTGGCTGTCGCCGTACGCCGTGTTGTTCCACCCGACGGTCCACCCGAGGGTCACGCCCTTGCCCCCGTCGGCGGCCGGCGGCACGCGGTCGAACGTCCCGCTGAGGAAGTACTCGGAGGCTGCCTCCCCCACGCTCGAGTTGTATTTGCCCGAGAGGCCGAATAGCCGGTCCGCGGAGAGCTCCACGCAGGACCCGAGCTCGTTGTACCATTTGCCCGTCAGCCGCGTGTAGTCAAACGCGGTGCCCGCCGCCAGTGCTGTTCGGAATTGGAATCAATAAACTCCGGCTCGTGGTACGCCACACCTTGTTCCTCCGGCTCCGGATTCGCGATCGGCTCTTCGAGCTGGCCGCCGTGCGAGCGGGTGTACACGACGCTGCCGACATTCGCGCTGTTCCACGTATCCGCAGGCGTGGTGCTCTCCGCGATAATCCACTGCGCCACAATCCGGTCTGCCTCAGGGAAATACTGCGCGGCGAACCCCGTTGTAGACTCCGCGACGACCTGCTCGGCCCGGCGCGAGACGGTCCACCCGAACGCGATGCCGCCGTCGGGCCGGGCCGCCGGGCGCGGCTCTGGATCAATCCGGCCGCGCAGGTAGAACGTCCCCTGCGGCGCCCGCATGTACCCGGTCAGCGCGCCGTCCGTCCCCGCGGAGAGCTCCAGGACGTAGTTGTAGTCGCCCGCCGCGCCCGCGTCCGTGCTGCGCCAGATGCCGTTGAGGTCGACGTAGCTCATTGTAGGGTTGTTGTATGTAGAGTGCGCTTGTCTCCCTGCCTTTTATAAGCTGCGATATATGTCGCCCGGAGCGAGACAGTTGCGCAGGGCTGTGCGCATGACAGGATGACGGCGTGAAGAACACAGACGGCGACTAGGAAGCCAGCGGGGAGGTGCCGCGGCCCTAGGTCTGCAAATAGCTGGCAGTCCTGCATGCAGGAATAGCGCAGAACACGGGCAGGCAGGCAGGCTGCTCAGAGATCATCAGCCTTCTATGTAGTCCGGCGGTGCAAGATGCCGACGGTGACGAGAAAGAAGCGGCAAGTCAAGTGATGCCGGCATGACCCCGCAAATAGTGCTGTCCACAATTATATTATGCTAGAATATATTTTGAATATATTCGAATAAATATGATTATATTATGCCCTTTGCATATTCAGACCCATTGAATATGAGTGATTATGAATATGAATATATTATGAATATAATATATTATACCTTGGCCATAATTAATTATATTCAAATACACCAGCAAGCCCTTCAGCCAGAGGTACTAGCTCTGTAGCAGGCTACTAGCAGCAGTAGCAACATCTTCAAACTCAGTCTTTACCATATCAATGGCTTTTGGCAGTAAATCAGCCCGGACAATATCCATATCCAGCCCTGACAGAAGGCTGAAGTTGACCTTTATATTGCTACCCTGGACTTTGATGATACTCTTCGCTGGTGAAGGTATCATACTTGACCTAGGCTAGAGTTTTGTTCAGCTTAATATCTTGTTGTAGAATATCCAGGCTATGTTACCAATCCTGGTTATGGCTGCAAAGAGCATCTCTGTAGGGCACCTGGTCTCCAGACTCCAGCATCAAGCATAGGATGACAGATATGCATGCCTCAATGACTGCAAAATTGGCCACAGAAACAACCATAACCAAGGAGTGGTTCAATAAACCATGAGATAAGGTGGATTATATGCACTATGTGCAGACTTGTGAAGCTTGAATATAATTGAATATATTCATAATATATTCATATTCTGAGCCCAATTATGATTATGAATATGAATACAATTATAATATGCTCCAGCAGAGAGAATATATTATGAATATGAATAAATTATGAAAATTTCGTATTCATAATCATAATTGGACAGCACTACCCGCAAATTTCTGAGCTATTTATGGTTCCGGTGTTGTTGGCGCGAAAGCAGTCATGCCACGTCTGCGTGCGCCGTCTCTTGGGCTCTCGTCAAGATATAGTCTGCCGGCAATCGATGTTCTGGACACAGTGAGAAAATGGAAAATCCTGGATTGCAGCATGTATGGCGCTCGACAAGGGGGTGTCACGTGTCAAAAAGTGACAACCGGGATGGTCGGTCGGTCCCCCCTCCGGACCCTTAAAAAAATTTTTTGGTAGAAACTTTTTGGCTGAAATGGTAAGTCAAAATTGTCTTAGGATGGGTTACAAGTACTGTTTGGTGCACTATACATCCATAATTAAGTATCAACAATCTCACAAGTGGTTATTTTTCAGTATCTCATCATCAGATGGAACATTGTGACAAATCAGAACATATGGGGATGGATATCTGTACTCTGGAGTGAGATTTGTAAGACAATGACTATATCAGGACTTTGTCTACAAGATATATATATAGCTAGAAGTCTATGTTTCTATCAATGTTCTTGGAAATTCAGAGGACTGACTGAGTTTGATGCTATCAGATCACATGACTGTGTGAATTACCTTCCTAATATGGTAATGTCACGTCACAGTCACGGTCGGTGGTTCCCCTGGAAGGGCTTAAACAAAAAGTCCAACGTATGTTCCATTATTTTTTTTCTGATACCCCCTTGGCGCTCGAACTTGAAACGGGGAAAAATTCTCCCAGGAGAGACACCTGCATCCAAGAACTCACCTGTCACACTTTGTGTACATCCGAGAACCTTGGTCATTTTATGCTACTGGTCTTTGTCCATAATCATATCATTGTAAGGGCAACCCCGGAGGCCTGAGATCAAGGTCCTAGCAGGGGAGGATCCAAAGGCGTGAACATTGGTAAGCGAATACAAATGAAGCTGACCTAGCAGGGGAGGATCCAAAGAGAAGAAACTCTAAGGGTCCGCCTACTAGGTAGCTGACTATATACTGCTTGTCCGTAGCTGCCGCTGTCGGGCACAGAAGGCTTGGGCGGTGTCGCAGGCGAGGTCCCAGGGCGACCGTCGGGAGGGCGTTGACGGATCGGTGATTGTGCGGGCGAGATGGAGGGCCGGACCGGAGACGGAACCGGAGTCGGACCGGAATCGGAGGCGTCTCCGAGGGGCCGAAAGGGAGGTTCCCCTGACATCACCCCCCTTTGAATGCGGCGTCCCGACGCATAGACCGGAACGGAATCGAGTCGAAGGTCGCGGAGGCGATGTGTCGTGGCTTGCCAGGGTACTTACGATAGAACTCCGCAATTTTCTCCGGGCGAAGACGCGGTCGAAGCGGACCCATTGGTCGTGCGATGCGTCGTAGCCTTTCCATCTGACGAAGTAGTTCAGCCGTTTATACCTCACCCTTGCGTCCAGGATTTCCTCTACTTCCCACTCCGGGACTCCGTCCTCGAGGTCCGGAGGGGGCTGGTCGTAGCCGGGGCGTCCGTCGAAGGGGTCGTCCTGAGCGAGCTCGAGCTTGACGACGGGGAAGACCGGGTGGAGCTTCGAGTAGCGCGGAGGGAGGTCGAGCTTGTAGGCACCTTTGCTGATCTCCTGACTATCTTGAACGGTCCAAGGCGGCGATGGGAGAACTTTTCCGAGGGGCGAGTCGTCCTGATGTCAGAGGCATCCAGCCAAACACGGTCGCCAACCTTAAACTCCGGAGACGGAGTCCGTCTCCGGTCGTAGTAGCGCTTGTACTCCTCTTTGGCCTTAGTGAGCGCGGCCTTGGCTTCAGCAACACCAGTGGCGATCCGGTCGCGGAACTCGTTCACTGACTCCATGGCGGAACGGACTCCGGGTTCGAAGCCCATGCGCGGGAGCCGTCCCGTGTCCGTCATGAAGGGGACCTGCTGTGTGGAGGAGTGAACGTGGTTGTTGTAGGCGAACTCCGCAGCCGGAATCAGCTCATCCCAGTCGTCCTGCTGGTAGTTGGTGAAGATCCGCAAGTACTGCTCCAGCTCCTGGTTGACGCGCTCTGTCTGACCGTCTGTCTGCGGGTGGTACGCGGTGGACGTGGCGGGCTTGATGCCGATTAGACGCCAAAGTTCTCGGGTGAAGTCCGCGATGAACTGCGAGCCGCGGTCGGAGACGTACTTCTCCGGAGTCCCATGGTGCCGCCAGACATTCCGGTAGTATAGGCGGGCTGCTCCTACTGCATCGACCGTCGTATGACACTCTGAGAAGTGGGCGCGCTTTCCGAGGGTGTGTTAAGTGCCGTGTCGACCAGAGGGACGGAGACGGAGACGGAGACGGAGTCGAAGTCGGAGACGGAATCGAAGTCGTAGAGCACTTGGGGCGGAACACCACAGAAGGATGATTGGGTGACCGGGGCTTCCAGTTGACCAAGACAAGACAAGAGGAGAAGAGCGGAGTCGAGACGACGCTGGGAGATAGAGACCAGCAACGTTAATTTACAAACTGAAGTACGTGATAATACATCAAAGTATTTATAGTACGAGAAGTAACGGAAACGGAATAAGGTATAACAAAGTAAGTAACAAGATTAGAACAAAGTCAAGTAAAGTAGAAGAGGAGTTGCATACGAGGAACAAGGCATAGATGATTGCATAGATCATAAGTCGGAGTAATTGGAAACGCTCAGTAAATCTTCATTGCGTAAAAACCAAATACCGGAGACGAATATCGGAGACGGATGCCGGAGTCGGCACGGATATAACAGTATCCCCCTCTTGCGTTTCTTGCCCACAAGAAACAGGAGCAATGGTCGTAGAGGTTGGAGTCGGAATCAGAGAGATTCGGAGTCAGAGTTGGACTTGTGAAAATTTTGAGTCGAAAACCGGAGAGGCCGAGATCACCGAGGAAGCCGGTGAGAACGTGATAATAGCAAGGAGGACGAAAAAGGAAAGGGGTGACAAGAAGCACGTCACCAATTGACATCAATCTTTTCATCTTTACCCACACCCACCATGTCGCCAAAACGCCACTCCAAGAAGAACCCCAAGAACCTGTTCGAGTCCGAGGTGGAGCGGGTAGATGAGCTGTCGGAGACGGAAAGGGTTGAAGGCTGGGTTGGGGAATCGGATAGGGACCCCTTGGCTGACGCGTTACCGTCGGGTAACAACCGACGCGTAGACATGCGGAGGGAGTTGGAGGAGCTGGAGCGCAGGGCGCAAGAGTTGCGCGCGCGACTGGCGGAAACGGCTCCGCGAGCACCGTCACCGGGTGGTCGGTCGGAGTCGTACGACCCTGACGACCCGATCGACAACGAGCCGATCAACGAGGAGGAGTCGGAGCACGGGTCCGCGGTGGCTCCGATGGTGTGGACACCAGCGGATCACGACGCGCTGCTAGCGATGGCAGCCGAACAACAGCGGCGTCGCGCAATCGACCAGCAGGCGGCTCTGGACCAACGCCAGAGAGTCGAGGCCGAGGGCAAGAGAAGAGAGGCCGAAAAAGCCGAAAACCAGAAACAACGGCGCCGAGCCCAAGCCGAAAAAGCCAGAGAGCGGGTCAACGCACGCCGCGAGCGCGGACTCGCGCCGCTGACGCGTGCCGAGGAAGCCGAGGCAGATGCCCGAATCGGTCGCCGAATCACGAGGCGTATTGATTCGCCCGTGGAGCCCGATTCGGCCGATGTCGCCGAAGAAACCCAGAAGGTGGCGGATATAACCGAAGCCGCCGAGAACGCCGACAAGGCCCAGACCGAGGAGCCCGATGAAGACGGCGATGCAGAAGAAGAAAGTAAGTGCAAGAATTATTCTCGGTTATGAACCTGACCCGTTTTGGCAGAAAAATGCGCCAAATGTATCAAGACGGGGAAACCCTGTGTGTGGAGCGAACCCAAGCCCAACACGACTTGGC